GGAGACGGTGAGTTCGGCTCAGAACAGAGCGCGATTCAGAGCTGCTGTACATGCGTCGGGTGACTGGACGGCACATAACAACAACAACAACAACAGTGGAGGGAGGGAGCTACGTGTGTGGTCACGTGTCCCTCAGTTCACACACTTTGGCCTGGGTATTTCCAACAGCAAATTGGAGTAAATCCCGTGCCTCAGTTTCTTGAAATAAGAAGTCACAGAAAAGTTCGTTTTGAAAAGGAAGTCTTAACGTTCAAAACATGAACAAGAGCAAGTCTCCCCAGCGTTCGCCAACGGCTTGTCCAGGACCCAGCACCGTCCTCACCGTGCTCTGCAGTGCGGTGGCCGCACACACTGTGACTTTGCTGTCTTGGAGTCAGGACAGGTGTTCCTGAAGTTCCCAGCTAGTCAGCACCTATCCAAGGCGGCTGCCTGGGCTGGGCCACCACGCCCGGGTCCCTGCGCCCCCCCAAGGCCTGGGCCTCTCTGGGCTCCACATGGTTGTTTCCATTACAGCAGAGCTTTGGGGCTTTTCTGGGCAGGCCTCTGAGCCCAGACGTGATTTTGTGGAGGCAGCAGGGTCCTGAGAGAGACCCACAGGCCGCTCAGTTGACACCAAAATAGACATGCAAAGTCCTGGCTTAGCTGACCGGCCAGGAGGCCGTTCCCAGCCACGTCCACCTGATGGAAATATTCAGAGCTGGAACGAGCTGTAAATAAACTCCACTGTGCTAAAAACACACAGCTCCAGGGAGCTGGGGGCAGGAGGGGGAGACGCAGATGGTCTTCACCTGCTGAAGTGAAGTGGGTCAAGGGGAAAGGTGGGGGGGACTGGGGCGCGGAGCAGGGCAGACCCCAGCAGGAAGAGCAAACGACAATTTACAGGCCCCGAGGCAGGCTCCAGTTTCCTGGAAGAAACGAGAGAAGTGACGGCTTTAAATGGCACGGCACGGTGCAGGGGACTTTTGCACAGGGTGTGCGGTGCAGGGAGGGAGGCCTGCAACACCAGCCATGGTCTGGAAAAAGAAATGGTGCTGCCTGTGCAAAGTAGCCACGTGCAAACCAACTTACTGCCCTCGTTGTTGTTGTTGTTGATTGCCTTCGAGTTGAGCACGACTCATGAACAAAAGGCCTGAAGCCTGTCTACAACAATCAACCTTTATCAAAGTGCCCTCAAGTCCACTGCGATCACCATGACCCTACGAACAACAGATCTGGCCCTGCCCTGTCCTGCGCCGTCTGCACCGTCTCCAAGCTGCTCGAGCCCACTGTGACAGTCACTGTGTCTGTCCATCTTGTTCAGGGTCGTCCTCTCTTTCTCTGACCCTCTGTCCTTCCCGACTTGATGGCTTTTTCCAAGAACCGGCCCCTCTTGACCACATGCCCAAAGTAGGTGAGACCAGGTTTCCCGATCCGGACCCCCAGGGAGCACTGTGGGCTCACTTCCTCCAAGGCAGACTTGCTTCTTGTTCTGAAAGTCCGTGAGACATGCCGTATTCTTCTCCAACACCACAACTCAGAGGCATCAACTCTTCTGCTGTCTGTCACTCATAGTCATTGTCTACCAAGATGCAAAAGATAATGGCTTGGATCAGATGTGCTTTAATCTTTAAACTAGTATATTGCTCTGTAGCATTGTGGAGAGGTGACAGCGAAGATTCCCATGCAACACGCCTTTTGATTTCTTGACTGCTGGTCCCATGAATACTGATTGTGGATCCCACTGAAATGAAATAATTGACAATTTCAATCTTTCCCCCATCTGTCATGGTGTCTCCCTATTGATCTAATGGTGAGGATTTGTGTTCTCTTGATGTGAGATGTAATCCACATGAAAGAATGTTGGTTTTGGTGCAACCACTGTGGAAGGCAGAATGGCACTTTCTCAAAAAGTTGCAAATAGAGATATCATTTGACCCAACAATTCCACTACTGGGAATATACCCCAAAGAGACCATAACTGCCACAAAAGCAGATATATGCACACCTATGTTTATTGCTGTGTTGTTCAGCAAAGAGTTGCAAACAACCTAAGTGCCCATCAACAAATGAATGGATAGAGAATCGGTGGTATATTCACACAATGGAATACTATGCTGCATTGAAAAACAAGGAACTCATGCAATATTATTCAAAATGGGTGACCCTGGAGGACGTTATGCTGAGTGAAATATCTCAGTCACAAGAGGACAAATACTGCATAGTGCCACTGTTGTAAAATGGGACTGACATCGGGGTTGGGAAGAGACTGAGAAAGGTGGGATAAATATGTATACTACGTTGAAACAGATGAGGGAGAGAACTGTTTAAAAGGGATATGTGATCAGGTATGATTGTCATGACAGGAGTCTAGAGTGAAGGCTACATGGTGGAGTGGACTTGGGAGGAAGGATTTTAAAACAATGAAAGAATTTCTCTTTTACTTTTCAAAGAGAAGAGTGTTCTGGGATGGGGAACAGTGAGAAAAGTGTGACAATGAATGAATGGAAATTCAAAGTCTCTGTAAATGTTCATTAAAATCAATAATAAAAAAATTTAAAAAAGAGAGAAAAAAAGAATGTAATTTTTAACCTTCTGCAGTAACCATTTCAAGTCCTCTTCACACCTGCAAGTAAGTTTGTGTCATCTGTACAAGGCAGGTGTTGATGCGTCTTTCAATCCTGATGCCACACTCATCTTCATAGAGTCCAGCCCCTCAAATGGTTAGCCCGGCACACAGATTGAATTGGTGTGGAGAAAAGATCTTAATGACGAGTAGGTGATTTTGCATATATGAAATACTTAATCGGTGCCTTGTGTGTAGTCAGTTTTCTGTCAATATTATTAATTCAGCGAACTTTAGTGAATATAACGGGAACTTAGTCTCACAGCCTTTGGCGTGTTGTTCAGAGAGCCCAGTCTTTGGAAGAAGACGTCACGCTTGGAAAGGTGGAGAGTCAGGGAAAGAGAGGAAGACCTTCAACAGGACGGTGGCCACAGCAGCTGTGCAATGGGGCCAAGCACGTCCGAGATTGGAGACGGCACTGGATGGAGAGGGCTCAGATCTATTGTTTGCAGGACCTGTGTGACCTCTGTGGGCTCCAGTTGACTTGGTGGTACCTCCAGTGGCAGAGGGCATTGCCCAACTACCTTTTTTTTTTTTACAGAGGTTTTGGATTTCCATTCATTCATTGCCGCAATTTTCTCCCTTCCCACCCCTCCCCACCAGCTCGCTTCCCCCTCCAAAGAGAGAGAGAGAAAAAAAAAGAAACAAAATTCCTTCATTAGTATACAATTCCCACGTCCCTTCCCCCCACCCCGAGTACACTTCTCTATGCAACCTTAATTCTGGATTCCTGTGCTAACCATATTTCTCAATCATATATCATTTCTAATCTGTTCTTTCCCTCATCTGTTTCAATGCAATATACATAATTTATCCAGTTTTTTTCTGTCATACCCCCACCCTGATGTCAGACCCATTCTACAACAGTGGCACCATGCAGTATTTGTCCCTTTGTGACTGAGATATTTCACTCAGCATAATGTCCTCCAGGGTCACCCACTTTTAATAATATTGAATGAGTTCCTTGTTTTTCAATGCTGTGTAGTATTCCATTGTGTGGATATGCCACAGCTTCTCTATCCATTCCCTTAAGCTGCTTCCAACTCTTTGCTATTGTAAACAAAGCTGCAGTAAACATGGGTGTGCATCCAACTGCCTTTTTAAAACTTATTTTAATGGAAGTTTACAGAGACTTTGGATTTCCATTCATTCATTGTTGCATTTTCCTCCCTGCCCACTGCTCCCCCCACCGTTTGCTTTTCTCTTTGAAAAGTAAAAAAATAAATAAATAAAAATCTTTCATTGTTAAACAATCCACCCCCCACCCCACCCCAGTCCCCTCCACTATGTAGCCTTCATTCTAAACTTCTGTCATGACAATAATACCTAATCATATATTCCTCCTAAACAGCTCTCTCCCTCACCTGTTTCAATGCCATGTACATTATTTATCCCCTCTTAGTTTCCCCCCAACCCCTGTCTCAGACCCGCTTTACAGCACTGGCACTGTGCAGTATTTGTCCTTTTGTGACTACTGCCTTTCTGTCTTCGGAGAGTTAGACCTGCCATACAGATGTCCCCTGGGCCTTCAGCCCCTCAGTTCACACTCACCCCCGTGTCCTGCCTGCACAGTCACTACTCAGTGCTCAGGGACCTCGCCACGCCCTCCCTCAGAGCCTTCTATGGCTCCCGACCACTCCCCAAAGCCCCCTCCGTTCACGAGCACCCCCGTTCTGTCCTCAGCCTCAGACCCCCTCACTGCTCTGCTGAGTCTCCTCCCAGGTTGACCCACCTGCTGCCCTTTCCTGCTTCGGGGCTACACTGGAGCCCTCACTGCCCTGCGCCTGGGCCCTCCCCTTACAGTGGATCCGCTGTGGGCCTCACTGGGCCCGGGCTGGGGCTGGACTGGGCAGGCTCTGCAGTGTCCCAGCACCTGTCCGGAAACGAGGCATGGGACCATCTCTTCCCCGTCACAGGTTTTTGAAGTAAGGGCTACTAACGGGCGTCTGTCCCATGGATTCCGGCTCATGGCAGCTCTGTGTGCCACGGAGTAGCCCTGTTGTGGCCCAGTCCCCAGCCAGCTGCCCTGTGAACCAAAGTCCCAGTTCTCCCAGGTGGTTCGAATCCACCATCTGTTCTGCAGGGGAAGGATGGGCCCTTTCCTCCTGGGTCATTACAGCCTCTGAAAACAGGCCGGAGGTTCAGCTGTGCGTTGATTCTGACTCGACGGCAGTGAAATGAATCTTAAAGGAAAATGGACCTTATCTCCCATGAAGTGCCCGTTACTGGGTTTGAACAACCAACCTTTAGCAATCATTCACAGGCTTGGCTGGGAGTGGAGGGAGGGTGCAAACTGCCCATCTGCTCCGACCTCAGAGGGCAGGGGGGCTGATGGTGCCGGTGGCAGGGTCAGGAGACCCCCAGGGCCCACATTGATCAGCATGGTGTTCTCGTGCAGCCCTGCCCGGCCTGGAGCAGAGGAAGCGGGGTGCCCACCGAGCCTGCTGCCGGCTGATGCCGCCGCCGCCCCCACTCTTCCTGCCTCCCTCCTTCAGAGGCCGCAGCCAGGTGAGTGTGCCGGCCCGTCACAGGACAGACAGCGAGGGGCGCTGGTGGCCGAGTGGGTGAGGAGCTGTGCCGCCAGACCAGCTGCTCCTCTGGACAAGGACGGGCAGTCTCCTCCTGTGTCACAGACAGCCTCCGAAAACCCGCTGGAGGGTCAGCCGTGGGTCAGCTCCGACTCCCCAGCGATGTGGGGAGTTGTTGGGTTGACCCCACCGCGCTCCACCGTTAGCCCAGGCGACCCCAGAATCTCCTCTGAGTGACGCGGCCCAGTGATCCCACTCTGCAGCTGGATCCTAGAAGGGGACCGAGTAGTTGCTTGTGGGTGATCATCCTTCTGCTATTACAATAAGTTACGGAGGGATGGCTTTCTCTGCTGGGAACTGAGTTTGGTCCAGTAGCCCCTGTTCCCCAAACAGTGAAGCAACTCATTCCTCTCTGGGCCCATCAGCCATGCAGGTCTGGAGACCTCATCTCTTTTTCTTCCCCCCAAGTGTTTATGGAATTCCTCCCTCAGCCAGTGTTTGCGGAGACTTTGCCCATGAGGGACAGGGAACCTAACTAACCCCAGGGACACAGAGGACACCATCCTCTAGACATGCTGGCTAAGGTGTGAGGGGAGCAGGACCTGGGCTGAGAAGGAAGGCACAGCGCCCAGGAAATGACTGAGGAAGCCGCAGGCCAGGGCATGCAGGATGTAGAGTCTCAGAACCTTCTGGAAGCTTTCACACCTGGCTGGTCCAGTACTGTAGCCACTGGCCGTACATGGCTGTCAAGCACTTTACATGGGGCCAGCCTGAGCCCAGATATGCTCTTAGTGTAAAAGAAACTAGATTTTGGAGAGGCAATCTCGGGATGAAAATGTGAAGTTACCTCATCAACAATTTTCCAATATGTATTAAGTGTTGAAAGGAAAATATTTGGGGAGTATCGATGGAGCGAATAGCTCGCATTCCGGAAAATGAATTTCCTCTGTTGCTTTTTGCCTTTGTCTACTAAAGACATACGAGGTCAGATGCGATTCGAGCTAGATTCCCACCACATGGTTCTGCCTCAGACGTGGGATAGGGCCCCTGAAACAAGCTTCCTATCTGGGTCCCCAGAGTGACTGTCACATCCCTGTGGTCTGTTCAAGCTGAGTTTGTGTCGAGGGCAGATGAGAGACCAGACCTGGTGGGCCTGAAGGCCACTTCCCAGGACATGCACAGGGTCAGGGTGAAGGACGGGATTGGGGGTAGTGTGAGGGGCTGCTGGCCTGAGGACTGGCTCCAGCAGGCCCATGTCCAGGGCAGTGACTCCCTTCTCTCCCCCACACCTGACCTCTAACCCTGTGTTGCTCTGCACGGAAGCTTCTGTCTCCAGATGTGAAGAATCTTATCCTGGAACTCGAGACCACGCCGCCCCCATGTGAGCAAGGACCCCTCGGCTCGCCAGGGCCCCCGGGCCCCCAGGTTGGTGCCTCTGCTGGCCCCTCTTGCTGGCTTCTGTTCAAAGCAGTGAAGGATACTGGGCACAGCCCCCACTGTTCCGCCTTTTCCTGGTGTAGGGGAGCCCTGGTACCCTAGTGATAAGGAGTAGTGCTGCTAACGCAAAGAGAAGCGGTTCGAATCCCCCAGCTGCTCCTTGAGAAGGATGGGCACCCTCCTCGCGTGTGACTCACTGCCTCTGGACCCCTGCTGGAGGGCCAGCTGTGGGTCGGCATCGCTGACCCTCAGCTGATCCATGACTCCATGGCCTTACGTGTGGCTTGTCCTCAGCTCTGACTCACCTGCGGCTTCAGGACCACGTGGTAGATTCTGGGGGTCTGGGGGCAATTCTGACCTTGCAGCCTTCATTCCCTCACCTGTGCCGTGGGGATAACAATATCCCTGCTGTCCTAGACTGGGGGAGAGGATAAAATGGGGCACTGCCCACCAGGAGGAGTCCACTGAAGCCATTACTAAGGTTCTCGTCAAAGCACTCAACAGCAGTCCAGTTCTCCCTTGCTCAAACTTTGACGCCATCTGTTGACCCAGAGTGCTGCATTGGGTGTCAGAAAGGAGTCAGGGAGAAACCTGTGGCCTTGAACTAGGTCTGGTGCTCAATCCCGCCATCAGGTAGCCCCTCCCTCCTGGTGGAGGAAGAGGAGGAGGAAGAACAGTGATGTGTGAACAGAGCAGGGAACACTGCATGGATTGGAGCTAGGGAAGGTGTGTGCCAGGGCTGTATCCTCTCTCCACACCTGTTCAGTCTGCACGCCGAGCAAATTATTCGAGAAGCTGGACTCTGTGAAGAAAACTGTGGCATCAAGATTGGAGGAAGACTCATCATTAACCAGATGACACAACCTTGCTTGCTGAAAGTGAGGAAGACTTGAAGCTCTTATTGTAGAAAATCAAAGAATACAGCGTCCAATATGGATTGCATCTCAACACCAAGAAAACAGAAGTCCTCCCCACTGAACAAATGGGCAACGTCATGAAAGATGGAGAAGATGTTGAAACTGCCAAAGACTTCATCTTACTTGGATCCACAATCACTATACTTGGTACCAGTGGTAGGGAGATTGGGAGACGCACTGCACAGGGAAAGTCTGCAGTTAGGGACCTCCCAAATCACCGAGGAACGATGATTATTGGACTAAGGTGCGCCAGATCCAGGCCATGACCTTCTCAGTCACTTGTTATCTGAGAGCTGGACAATAAATAAAGATGACAAAAGAAGAATTGATGCCTTTGAATTGTGGTGCTGGAGAAGAGTGCAGACTATTCCATGGACCGCCAAAAGAACAGACAGATGTGTCTTAGAATAGGTGTAGCCAGAGTGCTCCTTGAAGGCAAAGATGGTGAAGGTTTGTCTCACATACTTCAGGCATGTTGCTAGGAGAGGCTACTCCTAGGAGAGGGGCATCACGCTTGGGAAGGTGGAGAATCAGCAAAGGAGAGGAAGACCCCACCCCAGGGGGATGGATTGGCACGGTGACTGCAGCAATGGGCTCAGGTATGTCAGAGACGATGAGGATGGCACAGGACAGCACAGCGTTCAGAGCTATTGCTCACAGGGTCGCCACAGGTTGTACTCAACCCGACAGCACCTAACAACAACAACAACCCCGTGATTACAGTCTCCGAGTTGTCTGACAGCACTCTCGGCTGCCCCAAAGACTGGGGTCTCGAATCCGTGCAGAGAGCTTGGGGAAAAGACGTGACTTCCACAGACTCAGTCGCTGAAGACCCCAGGATGCACCTTCCACTCTGATGCTGTGGGACTGTCCGGGAGCCCCATAGATTTTACTGGTCATTTTATTTCATAGATCAACTTGTAAACGCCATGGGAGGATACTGCCCATATTTCTTCGAAGCAGCAGATGGTGGATTTGAACCACATACTTTTGCATCAGCAGCACAGCTCCCTACCAGAAGGCCACCGGAGCTCTCCAGACCAACCCCACGGATTTCCTGTGCGGCTCTGTGTGACCCTTCACTTCCCTTGGTCGTGGCTCCCGGGACGCGCAGCAAGAGCATCTGAAACGCTGAGAGAATCTTGTTTTCAGAAACGGAATTCCCTCGAGCGTCTTTAGTTGCTCTCCCCAAGTGCCTGGGACGTGGCAGGCGTGTCACACTGTGCACGTGTGTGAGCCCTGCCACATCTTACCACGCGTGTGCGAGCCCGGCCTGTCCACGTTGCACTGTGCACCTGTGAGCACTGCCGTTGAGTGACCCCCAGACAACAGCTCAGAGAAAATTAGGAGAGAGGGAGGTGCAGACGGGAGGGGCTGGGCGAGGGCTGGGCAAGGGTCCTTCCTCGGCCACCAGGGCACCGAGTCTCCGCCCCTCTCCCACCACCCGGCCACCTGTACGGCTTCCCTGAACCTCTACACTTATGTCTCTCCTGTTCAGGGTCCACCGGGCCTTCCTGGCAAGACAGGACCAAAGGGAGAAAAGGTATGGCCACTCCTTCTTCCCCCAGCCCTCTCTCCGTGGGCATTTTGGTCCATTTTCCGGGGGTGCACTGAGGGTTTCCGGGTGAGACTGCAATGCATGGGTGAATCTTCTTTGGGGTGTGAAGATGGTGAGGCCCTGGGTGACAGGGATATCGCTGGAAGTGGGGGTCCCACTGTGCGTGCTGATGAGACCCACAGATGTGGCGGTGTGCTGGGGCAGTGAGGCACCCCCACCAGGCAGCCCTGCACGGCTGCCAGCCCCACCAAGCCCTCTGCTTCCAGAACTTCTCTTCCACAGCAGCCTCCACTCACCTGTCTTCTCCGTCTGCAGGGGGAGATTGGCCGGCCAGGACGGAAGGTATGGCCCACAGTGTTCTGGGTACAATACGGGCAGCGTTCTCCATGGCTGTGGGGGACACGATCCCAGAGGTGGGGGCCCAGGGCCCAGGTGGACATTGGGGGGTCTGTCATTCTGGTGGTAACACCCATGAACTTGCCCGTTCTGCTGGCACCTTCAGCCAAGAGCCGGAACCTGGCCTTGCGGCCACGGGACTTCTGGGATGGCTACCCAGAGCTGTCACACTCCTCCAGCCTCAGACCCTCTGTTGTGACACCCACCGGAGGAACTTCTGAGGCCAACACAGTGGTTCAGGCTGTCTACTCGAGCTTGCTGGCTCTGCTGGAGCTGCTTAAGGTCACGGTGACTCTGAGTGACCCAGGCATGTGTGAACGAAGCTCATCAGTGTCAGGAGGGGGTGAGCCAGCAGCATCTGGAATTCCCTGCGGCCAGTGGACGCTGGCGTTGGGAAGGGCACTCTCTCAGCTGAGAAGGATGGCTGTGGCTCGAACTAGAAATGACACGGGTTTTTTTTCTAGCTAAATATTTTGATCAAGTTAGCCCATAGTCAATGCGAGCCCCTTGTAGACCTTCGTCAAGCAGAGGGACAAGTCTTCGAGGCTCAGATGACCGCGGCCATCTCAAACCCTGGCCGAAAGGAATTCTGGACTGGCCTGCTTGCTTGATTGATGGGTGGTGTCTGCCAAGGATGGGGAGAAGAGTAGAAACCCAGGGCATGTACCACATTGTCACCAGTGACCCAGGCCCTCTGCATCTCTAGCTAAGTTAATGTGAACTTGGCCGGTGAATACAGAGCCCAGCATAGACCTGCCAGCTTTCATTCTCTCTTGCAGAGTTTGCCCACCTGTAGCCCCTGGTCTAGACGAGGTGCCCTAGCAGTAGAGACAGGGATAGCCTGAACTTGGTGTCAGTGAGTTAATTATCCAGGAGCACCCAGGGGAGCTCATGGGGAGATGCACGGGGTGAGAGGAGGAGCCAGGGAGGGACAGGGTATTGAACGAAGGCTGACCTCAGCCTGGTCCCGGGGGCTCCACAGTGTCAGCTGCATAGAGTTGGCTCTGCCTTGGGGCGCAGGAGATGGGCTATGGTCTGCAGGCAGCTGAGGTCCACCAGAGGCCAGGCACTCCAGCTGACCAGAGCAGCTGCCAGAGTTACCGGCTACAATCTAAGTTAGCAGCGAGGAAGGCAGCCCTGGGGTGAACGGCCCTGAGCAGGAAGGCAAGACCTTGAAGGAGGGAGTACCAATGACAGCTGCTACTGCCCGCAAAACGCAGCCCTCCCCTGGTCCACGGCAGGGCCTGGGGGACAGAACTGTTCACAAAACGCAGCCCTTCCCTGGTCCATGGCACGGCCTGGGGGACATACAGAACTGCCCACAAAACGCAGCCCTCCCCTGCTCCACTGCACAGCCTGGGGGACAGAACTGCCCACAAAACGCCGCCCTCCCCTGGTCCAAGGCATGGCCTGGGGGACAGACAGAACTGTAAAACACAGCCCTCCCCTGGTACACGGCAGGGCCTGGGGGACAGAACTGCCCTCAAAACACAGCCCTCCCCTGGTCCATGGCACGGCCTGGGGGACAGACAGAACTGCAAAACGCAGCCCTCCCCTGGTCCACAGCAGGACCTGGGGAACAGAGCTGCCCTCAAAACGCAGTCCTCCCCTGGTCCACGGCACGGCCTGGGGGACACCTCGCTGGCATGCAGAGGGGCATTTAGCAGAGAGATAAAGGTTAAAAACTCAATAACTCTAAATCCACCCTCACACACACACGCATTTCTTGAGCAGGTTAAGACCTTGTTTGCGGACATAATTTGACCCCACAAGCTTTCACTTCCTTCCAGCCTCTGCAGCTGGCCCTTTCTACGTATCATTCTCTGAAAACTGGGGACGAGTGTTAGAGATTGATCTTAATACCCCACACCCCCCACAGGGTCCCTGAAGCAAATCTTAGTTCCTGGAAGGAGGGGAATAAGCCTAGTGGTCCTAACTCTTATTCTTGGTCTTTGAAGGGCAGACCTGGTGCCCCAGGTGTTCCAGGCATGCCGGGGCCTGTCGGCTGGCCAGGCCCTGAAGGACCCAGGGTAAGTGGGGTGTATACGGGACTCCTGGGGCCCCCAGGCTGTGACAGGAGAAGACTGGCCCCTGATACATAGTGAAATTCAGGGGGAAAGAAGAGTGGAACTGCCCACAGGGTGGGAATACTCTTCTCAGTCGGCTCTCGTGTCCCGGTTCCCTGACCCTCATTTGTCTGTGAGTCCTCAGCCAGGCCAATGGCTCTGCTCCTGTGGTGGGAGAATTGGGGGTGCTCCTCTCTTTCAGGGTGTCCTGATTCTCCATTGTCTGGGACTTGAAATGCTATTTCCTTGGTTTCTCCTGAGATGACCCACAAGGAGTGTGAAAAGGGGTCAGCTGGTCTCCTCAGTGTGTACGTGGAGGGGAGGGAAGCGACTGACTGGCAAGACGTCAGTGCTGTCTTTGGAGCGTGAGCCCCAGATGCCTGTGAAGCCTGTTCCACACACAGGCTGTGAGAAGCAATGTCGCCACCGCTTACCTCCTCCTCCCGGTGGCTTGGTGGTAAGGAGTGGCACTACCAGCCTGAAGATACGTGGCTCGAAGGCACCGGCTGCTCTGTGGGAGAAAGATGGGCGTTCTCCTCCCGGGTGAATTACAGCCCCTGAAAACCCCCTGCAGGGTCAGCTCTGAGCTGGTCTGAATCTGCGATTCACACAACAACAGAAACTCTAGTGGCCACAGACTAGAGGTGCAGAAGCTCGTGCTTAAAAACTGGAGAACGGGTCGGTGGAGGTCCCCATCTGTCTTGATTAACCCACTGATTGTATTATTGAAAGAAACCAAGTGATCGTATTACTGACAAAACTATTTCCGGTCCCCTTCAGGGACAAGGGCGTTTCTCTTAACAGTCCTCTGTAGAGAGCTGAGCTCTCCAGTATGGTGGCCACTGACTGGGCACTGTGGCCACTGAACCCTTGAAATATAGCTGATGCAACAGTGGAAATCAGTTTTTCTTTTTATTCATTTACATTTTCATTTATAAACCCATAGTCATTCCATTATTGGGAAAATGTTAAGTGTGTTTGGAATAATTCCAGCGTAGCAACCTACCTTACCAGCTTTATAAGGCTTTTTTTTTTCTCCACTTTCTCTTTATTGACAGCAGCCCCCTGCCCAGATCCCTCCCACCTACCAGAGAAGGACCAGAAGGGAGGCCAGGTTGCTGCCAGGATGCTCACTTCCAGGGAGCGTCAGAGCACAGCAGCTGGAAGGGCCCCTGCCCCTGCCCAGCAACTTGGCCAAGCTTTATAAGTTTTATGAACCTAACGAACTTGTGTTTCCAATGAAAGTTTAGAATCTGGATTGAAATGTACTTTGTGTGTAAAACTGCTTTTGTTTGGTTCCTCTGAGTCAGTTCCAACTCACCGAAAGCAGAACAGAACAGCGTCCACCCCACAGCCCTGTTCGAGCCCATTGTCCCAGCCACTGGCTGTCTGGGTTTTGAGTGGCTTTTTGGCTGAACTGTTCTTTTACCACGTATAATGTCCTCTCCAGGGTGTGGTGGCTTCTGATGATGCCCACATCACGTGAGACCATCGTCACCACCCACACGACTGAGGCACTTTCTGGATGTCTGCTTCCTCCGAGACGGAACTGCCCCTTCTCCTGGCAATCCATGTTCAACGGGTCTTCAGGCACTGGTGTTCAGTGCTTCCTATCTCTGAATTCAAGTGGGATATACTCAAGGTTTTACTTTGGCTTTTGTGATTCTTTTCAGCTTCAACTTAAACTAGTATGTGAGCACCTGTCCACAGCTGACCTTGGCTTGTTCTGACTGACCACATTGACCTCCTTCGTCACCTGTTTTCACAGATGTGTTCTGTTCCATCCCTGCGTATTCCCTCTGTTGAGGTTCACACAGACAGACATCATAAGGAACTGTCTTGCCAAATTCTGTCTGTGATCTTCTGTGATGGTTCCATCACCTCGGTTGTATTTCCCAATGATGAGCCCTCTTTCTTTCCAACTTCTGCGTTCAAATCAGCACTGGCTCTTTAGTGCATGTTTGATCAATTCCAGACACAGAACTTGGTAAAAATCCTCAATTTCTTTCCCTTTGGCATTAGTGATTGATGCATAAATTTGAACGATAGTCCTGTTAACTGTTGCTGTTGTTGCTAGGTGCCCTCAAGTCAGCGGTGCCTCACAGCGACTCTGTAACAAGCTGTCTAAACGTCGTGCTGGCCTGCACCATCCTCAGACATGTTTGTGTCTACTATTACAGTCGCCGTGTTGGTCCACCTTGTCGAAAGTCTTCCTCTCTTTCTCTGACCGTCCACCTTTTCCCAGCATGATGTCTAGACTCATATGGATTGATCCTATCACTGATAGCATTATATCTCGGGATAGATTTTTTTTTTTCAGTGAGAAAAATCTGTATTTAGAATTAGCCCACTAGACTCAGTTTAGATGATCCCAGTTTTGTTGGTAACATCCAAAGCATCACAGTCAGGAGCAAGTCAAACATAGGCCTTCTTCTCTCCATCAGGCCTGATCAAAGAGTTGACCTTGGCCACATCAGTGTCATAGAGCTTCTTTACAGCTTGTTTAATTTGGTGCTTGTTGGCCTTGACATCCACAATGAACACAAGTGTGTTGTTACCTTCTATCTCCTTCATGGCTGACTCAGTGGTCAGGGGAGACTTGATGATGGCATAGTGGTCAAGCTTGTTTCTCCTGGGGGTGCTCTTCCAGGGGTATGTGGGCTGCCTTCAGAGTCTCAGTGTCTTAGGCTGCCGGAAGGTGGGTGACGTGTGGATCTTCTTTTTCTTTTTTGGCTGTGGACGCCCTTCAGGACGCCTTCTTGGCCTTTAATGCCTTTGCTTTGGCTTCAGTTTTGGGAGGGGCAGGGGCTTCCTACTTCACTTTCGACGTCATCTTCATAGAAAGGCAGGATAGATTTTTAAATGTCCTTTTTGACAAGCACAGTGATACATTTCTTCTTCTGTTTGTTATTCCTGGAATAGGAGAAGGTAACAATTGCCTCATTCAAAATGACCAATTCTTCTCCATTCGCTAATATCTAGGACATCGACCTTGAAGTGTTCCTGTGCATTTCTGACAACCTGCAATTTTCCTGGATTCACAATTACCCATTCAGGTTATTGAGGAATGTTCACAACTGTTTCTTCTTGTTTTGAGTAGTGCCACATTGGCGAATGAAGGTCTGAGAAGATTTATTCCCTCAGGTCATTGAAACTGACTATTTTGAGGTGGCGGCTCTTCTCCTGACATTCTTTCGAGTGTCTTCCGCCCTGCAAGCTTCATCTCCCCGCAGCGTATCTGCTGTTACTCACCGGTCATTATTTCAGTAGTGGATGGCCAAGTTGTTCTTCCTGATCTGTCTTATTCTGGAAATTGTGCTGATGCCTGTCTTCTATGGGTGACCTTGCTGGTGTTTGTGACACTGTGACTCAGCTTCTAGCATCACAGCAAAAGTCAGGCCACATCATCTGCCCACCACCTGCCTGCAAAAGGTACAAGTTGTTGGTAGGCGACATTGAGGAGGACCTGAAGCACTTGCTGCAGAAGGTCAAGGACTGCAGCCTTCAATATGGATTGAAGCTCAACATCAAGAAGACAAAGATTCTCAGAACTGTGCCAATTGACAGCATCATGACAGATGATGAAGAGACTGAGATTATTAACAGCTTCAGTTTTCTTGGCTCTACAGTCAACACTCTTGGTACCAGCAGCCAGGAAATGAAAAGACTAATTGCATTGGGAATGTCTACTGTCAGAAACCTCTCCAAAGTACTGAAGAGCAGCGATGTCAGTCTGGACACTAAAGTGCGCCTGATACAGGCCACAGTCTTCACAGTTGCTTGCTGTGTATCAGAAAGCTGGACAATGACTAGGGATGTTAGAAGAAGTAATGCCTTTGAGCTGTGGTGCTGGAGAAGAGTGTTGAATACACCATGGACTGCTAGGAGAATAAACAAGTTCGTCCTGGAGAGGGTGAAGCCAGGCTGCTCCTTAGAGGCAAGGATTCTGAAGCTTCTTCTGACACACTTTGGACCTGTTGCAAAGAGGGACTAATCCTTGGAGAGGGACAGTGCAATAGAGAAAGTCCCTCGATGAGATCAATTGATTCAGTGACTGGTGTTATTGATGTGGGTGTGTTGGAGACAGTGAGGTTAGCACAGGACAGAGCAGGGCTTAGGGCTGTTGTACACAGGGTCGCTGTGAGCCTCGACAGCACACAACAGCAACAACAAGAGGTGACGCTGAGTTGACTACCAGTCATAACAACCCTCTGAACAACAGCCCTGAGCCCTGCCTGTCCTGTGCGTCCTCCATCTCTGCTAACTCGGGTGCACTGATGCAGTCAGCGTGTCCATCCATGTTGCTGAGGGTCCCTCCTCAGACTTCAAAGACTTTTATGAAAAAAAGAATGTAGAACATCTCCATAATAATCTTTGCACATAATTTGATGTCACGATGACAGTTTTCTACGTGTGAGGCTGCCTAAAATAGGCAAGCTAACCTGTTTCTTTGTACCTCTTCATGCGACTTTCGAAACACTTTACCTCAGGTACGTGTCTTGCCCGATGTTTCCAGTGGGTTGTACTGGTGTGGGGTTTTCCAGCACAGAGGATACCCCACTGCACGCCTTTCTGAAGATCGGAGGAGCCACCATGAGCCCTAGCCTCCTGCCTCGCACTACACCCCGGCCTGGAGCCTGCCCTCTCAGTACCCAGGTTGTACTGTGACGCTGGAACAGTGCGCTGCGTGCAAAGTAAAGCAGATGAGTTTGGGATTGGGTGCTGACCCCCTTCTCTGAGACTCCGGTGCTGTCATCATCTTCCTCATCCTCTCTGAACGCTTTTTCAGAAACAAAGTATCAGTCCATTTAGTCATCTAGTGGCCGAGTGGTAAGAAGCCACACTGCAAATCCCGAAGGCACACGGTTCCAATCCACCGGCTGCTCCACAGGAGATAGATGAGAAATCTCCTCCTGTGCCATTTACAGCCTCTGAAAACCTGCTGGAGGGGCAGCTATGCATTGGTTCAACAACACATAACAACAACAGGAAGCATTTCAGTAACTCTGGTAGTGTAAATGTTTAAGTGCCCAACTGTTAAATGAAAGGTCTGTGGTTTGACCCCCCCCCCCCCCCCAGCCACTCCATGGGAATGAGCTGTCGCAGTCTGTTTCTGTAAAGATACAGCAGGAGAACTGGAAGGGCAGCTCTGGTCTGTCCAGTGGGGTGTCTGTGGTTGGAACTCAGTGGTCATGTGGTTTCGGTGTTTAGCGAGCATTTCAGGAATGCTGGTGGCACAGTAGTTAAGAGTTTGGCAGCTAACCAAAAGGTCCTGTACTGTCAGTGACTCCCGTAGCAAACACCTGGTGGTCAGCCTCAGAAACCCCTGTGAGGCAGAACTGTGCTGCCCGGGTGGTTTGATTTCATATTTCATCTCAAGGATCAGAATGAAAGGTGGAGTGTGGAGCCTGGGGGCCGGGAGTGAGCATGACAGCATTTCAGGAGCTTCCGGCCCTGAGGTCAGCCAGTTCCCTCCAGATCTTCCTCAGACCTCTCCTCATTCAGCTTCTCCCAGAAAGATCACTGCTGGTATTTTCCCCCCCAATCTACAGGGTGAAAAAGGTGACCTGGGTGTGATGGGCTTGCCGGGGTCCAGAGGTCCAGTGGGCTCCAAGGTAGGTGTGCTGGTGCTGGTCCTGTCAGGGGTTCTTATCATAGAGTGGCTGCTGCCCACAAAGATGGCAGCTGGACGAGGCTGACAAACTGGGATGGAGACTGGTACAGAGGTTGGACATCTGTGCCAGTGTGTCCTCTCTGGGAATACATTGTGCCCAACTGTTTTCCTGGGCAGTCAAGCTTCTGCCCAATGAAGTGGGTGGGAAACTCCATGGAGGTCTTTAAGGAGTAAGAAAGAAATGTTCTTTGCGGCCATGATGTAAGTACACCCTTCAGGGATGTCTTTGTAGGACACACCTTTCCGTTACGTTAAGGAACCCTTCTCACCGTTCTGCAGGGCCAACTGTAAGTGTGTCCACTCTCTTGTAGGGCTACCCTGGATCCAGAGGAGAGAAGGTTAGTGGTCATCCTTGGCATCTGTCCAGAGTCTGCTCTGGCTGTGGGCTCTGGGGTCAGTGGTGAGCAGAGCACGGGCCCAGTGACTTGCAGGCCCCTTTGAAAGCTCTCCAGTGCACCTTCCCTCCAGTCATGCTCCTGTGTTTTTCTCCTAGGGATCCAAAGGTGAAAGGGGCGACTTGGGTCCCAAAGGAGAAAAGGTAATGGCCCATCGTGAACATGAGAAATGACAATGGAAGTGGGGACTCCGTCTTGGGGATCAAATGACTTGACTGACTAGAGGGCTCCAAACTCTCCCCTCACCTGGTCAAACAAGGTTCCAGAGGTTGTCTCTCATTTCTTCTTCTCTTCCCAGGGCTTCCCAGGATTTCCTGGAATGCTGGGACAGAAAGTAAGTACCCTGAAGTGGTAAAAAGCTAATCTCCGTGTATCATCATCTGTTCTTAAAGAGTTCTGCCTCTTTGTCCAGTAGTCAGGGAGTGGGTTTGTTATGGAAGGTTCTGGTTTATTATGAGAGCAAGTCTCAGCTTCTTCCACAATGTTCTAGCTTGGAAAAGTCTATGGAGCAAGTACAGCTCAATTCTGCTCAAATGGGGTTTACCGTGAATTGAGCTGGACTCAGTGATGGGTGATTTTAGAATTCAAAACAAAAATGCACCCAACACGAGGAAGGGCAGTGGCTGCTCTTAGCTCATGGACTTCCTGACAAGCTTCCCTGCTGCCTGACCCCTTTATTCCTGCACCCCGACCCCCTCAAGCTGGTTCACAAAATCGTTTTAGCTGCTTGACAGCAAACACTTTTTTTTTACTTTGATAGTGATTCTTTTTTTATTAGGTTTGTTAAACGTCTAATGTCATAGGCATCTCTTATTTGAGACTAGGAAGAACAAAAAAGGAATTTCAGTGGATTTAAAGACAGAATATTCAGGATTTGTGTTTAGATAAGACAGAAATTAGATAAAGCAGCAAGCCAGTGGCTGACAGAGTTCTGGAAACTTCTGTTTACAGGGAGAGTCTGGAAAGGAAGGCTAAGGAGGAAGAAAGTGTCAGGGAATAAAAAGAGAAAAGAGCGAATGAGGATGTTGAAGAGCTAACTCAGCTGGCTCCGGTGGCCTCGTGGGGGGCTGCACTGTTGTACATTATGTTGTTGTTGTTGTGTGCTGTCAAGCCAAAACCAACCCATAGCCAACCTTCCAGCAGGTTTTCAGAGACAACTACATGGGAAGAGACTGCCCATCTTTCTCCCACAGAACAGCTGCTGGATTTGAACCACTTGCCTTTGGGTTTGCAGAGCAGCTTCTTGCCACTAGGCCACCAGAGCTGAAAATCAAACCCAAAAGCAAATGGTTTGAACCCACCAGTGGCTCCAAGGGACAGTCTCCTCCTGCATGATAGCAGCTTCTGAAAACCCACCAGACGATTTTCCAAAGTTGAACGTGTCATTTTTGTCTAACCCTCTCCAGGCAACTGCACATATTTGAATAGTTACCACCATCTTACAGGGAGCTCTCCTGGCCTGGTGGGTAAGGAGTTGCACTGGTGACCCACAGGCAGACGGTTTGAATCCACCAGCCACTCTGTGGGAGGAAGATGGGCAGCCTTTCCCTGTGTGGTTTACAGCCTCTGACTCTGTGCTGGAGGGCCAGCTGTGCGTCTGTTCGGCCATTAGTTGGTTCTGACCCGATGACACATAACAACAGCGATCTTCTTGCTCTAATTTACTGTGAGTTAGTGACCTTCGCCTGTCAGCAACCCTGATCCTGTTACCCCGGACGAGGGAGGTACTTAAAAAAATAGATTTTACCAACACTTAAAGAAAGCATTGAAAGAGAAAGAGCTGACTTTATTTTGAAATGTTTAGCTGGAGTTTTCGTTTGATATGACAGTGAATGAAGGCGTAATAAATGAGGGTGACCTTGAAGATGAGGCTCCTCCGGACTCGGCCCCCTCACTGTATCCGTCTCTGCGTGGTTTGCTGCCTTTTCATAGGACACCGCTCCAGGCCGAACTGATCTGTAACCACAATTAGATCTGAGGAGTCATTAAATCAAGAAAGTCCTGGCTGTATCCAGCGGGTAAAGAGAAGGGCCACACTTCCTTTAAGAAAAAGAAATTTTAAAAAGTGTATGTATTTATGCAGCTGTTAGGGACCTCTCTAAAGTACTCAGGAGCAACGGTGTCTCTCTGGAGACTAAGGTGCACCTGATACAGGCCATGGTATTTGCAATTGCTTGTTATGCATCAGAGAGTTGGACAATGACTAGGGAGGACAGAAGGAGAGTGGATGCTTTTGAGCTGTGGTGCTGGAGAAGGGTACTGAATGTACCATGGACTGCCAGGAAAACAGATTCATCTTGGAGAGGATTAAACCAAGTTACTCCTTGGAGGCAAGGATTCTGGGACTTCGTCTGACATACTTTGGACATGTTGCCAGGAGGGACGGGTCCTTGGAGAGGGACATCATGCTTGGGAGGGTTGAGGGACAGCGCAGGAGGGGAAGACCCTCTATGAGATGGATTGATTCAGTGACTGGAGTAATCGGGATGGGAGTGTCAGAGGCGGTGTGGTTGGCGCAGGATAGAGCAGGGTTTAGGGCTGTTGTGCATAGGGTCGCTATGAGTCGGAAACGACGCGACGGCACATAACAGCAATAACAACAACATGTATTTATGCTGTTTTCTCCCAGCCAAGCAAGCACCCCAACTCCATCTTAACTCTGGCTCTAAGCAGCCCAGGAATTCTAATGATGTGCCCACCCCCAGGACCACGGGGAAATCCACGAGGCCGGTCTCACTGTCTCGCTGCCAAGGGGGCTTCTGTGACTTTGTGGGAAGAAGCTGCACAGCAAGGCCACGGGCTTGCAGTTCAGACCAACGAGCTGCTCTGTGGGTGAAAGATGGGCGCTCTCCTCCCACAAGACTTGCTGCCTCTGCAAACCTGCTGGAGGGTCAGCTCGGAGCCAGTTCCAACTGCTGGGATGCTGAGGAATAGCATTGTCGTGTTCCGTGGAGCTGGCCCGCTGCCAGGTTTTCAGAGGCAGTTAATCGCACGGGAGGAGAGGACCCATTCTTCCTCCGTGGAGCAGCTAGTGGATTTGAACCACATGCCTTCTGGATTGCAATGCAGGTTCTTGCCACTAGGCCACCACAGTTCCTTTGAGGAATATTACAGGTTGGGAAGAAATTGCAGTTCGTGGATCATTTTTGGTGAGATCAATACCCCAGTGCTTTGGGTAAGGACAAACCCAGCACAAATCCACGGGCTGAGCTGACAGGCGGTCTCTGAGCTCTAAGCTCAGGGTTCCTGGAATGTGCCGCCTCCGTCTGCCTTCCCTGACGTCCTTGTGAAAGGCCAGCCAGGAGGGTGTCCTCTCTGCGGCTGGGGCGGCACCTCCTGGGCACTGCTGACCACAGAAGGCCCCGCCGTCCTTATTGCTAAATTGATCTTCCTGCAGTGCCTTCTGGGCCCTGGGGGAATGGCCAGTCCCGCGGCTTGTGATCCAATGAAAGAGCAATGGACCGGGAATACTGGGAGGAGAGAAAGAAAAGGGAAGAAATGGCTGTGTGTTCACTTAATTCAAACACTGGGGTTTGACAATTAGTGCACTGGGGTTTTGTTTTTTAACTTTTTGTTGTGATTTGAGTGAAAATTTATGGAGCAACATAGTTTTCCATTCAACTATTCATCTATAATACGCTTCCGAACATTGATGCATTTGGTTCTAATCTTTAAAAATGTTAATATTCTTGTTATGTGCCGTCATGAAGGAAATAACTCATAACTCCCTTCCTGTGGGTTTTCAGAGGCTGTAGAATCACATGAGAGGAGATTGCCCATCTTTTTTCTTGAGGAGCAACGGGTGGAGTTGAACCAGCTACATTTGGGTTGACAGAAAAACTCTTTACCCACTAGGCCATCAGAGCTCTCCATTAGGATTCTCATTTATGTTCTTTTTTGATGGCTTATAATAATGTTGTTGTTGTTGTTGTTGTATACTGTTGAGTTAACTACAACTCATAGCGACCCGATGAGCAATGACTATGAACCCTGCTCTATCCTGAGCCAACCTCTCCTGTGCTGTCCCTCCATGCTTCCAAGCATGATGTCCCTCTCCAAGGACTGAAACATGCCCAGAGTATGTGAGACAGAGCTTCCACATTCTTTCTTCCAAAGAGCAAACTGGTTTCACCCTCTGCATGAGAGCAGTTTAGCACTCACCTGCTGACCATAACGTTAGCAGTTCAAATCCACCAACTTCTCCGCGAGAGAACAGTGTGGTGATCAACTGTAGTAAAGATTGGGAGTCCTGGGGAACAATTCTACTTTGTTCTGTGAATAGATACGAGAACCCTCCAAGCGCACACGATACCATCCTAATTTCACTCTTTCTTCTTTTCAGGGTGAAATGGGTCCGAAGGGTGAGCCTGGGACAGCAGGACACCGAGGCCCCACGGGAAGACCAGGAAAACGAGGCAAGCAGGTGAGGACCCCAGGGCTTACCTCCTCCCTGACCTTGAAGTGTGGAGTAGGGTGAACAGTGAGGTTAGCCTGAGAGGTCCCACAGACCATACTCTGAGGATCTAAGCTGATAAGCTGGACCAACAGCACCCCTTCCAGAAGCTTCTGATGCCTTTAAAGTAGCCAGGGGTTCAGGCAGATGTGACCAGGCGCCGTGCAAACCACGGAGCACGGGCCTTCGCTTCATAAGATGAGGTCTTTGTAAGCGACTGCAAGTGGAAGCCAGTTTGGCTGTTTACTCGGAAAATCTGCTTGGTGTCCTTCACAAAAATGGAGTCTCAGAGAACAGCCCGGTTATTTCCCTGACGTTCCATTGTCTCCTGGGTCCCGAACAATGGGATTTGTCCCTTGAATTGTCCCTATTTAGCTACTAATTTCTAAGTAACCCTCTTTTTTAAAAAAGGATATATCTGTTTTTATACTTTTATATTGGTTTGCATAAAAAATCCATATACATTGCATTCCACACATTCCTTCATTCACAGTGTGTTTCACATGATCATTCCCATATAGTCTTTTTGGAACTATATATCCTTGAAGGAGATTGTCCGTCCTACACTGTGTGGCCAGCAGGCACTGGTTCTAAGCTGCGTGACGTGGCGGGAACAGGGAGGCATGAGGTCCACTTGTGTTGGCTGTGTCTTTGGAGTTGCGTTGAGTGTCCCAGAGAAGCTTCCGGTCTTAGTGGATGGGCAGGCGTGAGCATACATCTGTTTGAGTTGTGGCTGGTTTCTTTAGGGTACACTCCCTAAAGGAGTGGAATTGCTGATCAGGTGCTATTTCTATTTCCAACTTTTTGAGAAAGTGCCAAACTGCCTTTCATTGTGGTTGCACCGTTTTACATTCCCACCAGTAGTGAATATGAGTTCTGATCTCTCCAAAACCTCTCCAGAATTTGTTGTTTGCTGCCGTCTTGAACGTTGCTATTGTTGCTGGGGTGAGATGCTATCTAGTACTTGTGCGGTATTAGTACATAACTGAAATGCCCATGTATTTTAATAGCTGAGTAAACAATGGATTGCTTGGACCAGAAAGCTCTGAGTTGTATGTGGTGCCGAGAGGAGCATCTTTCTGTCTTTGTGCACACAGCCGTTTGCATTTTTAAGATCATTTTCTTGGGTGAGATGAGTGGCACTCAAGCTTCAACTCACACTGGAAGTGCCTTGGAGGGCTGGTTCAGTGCAGCTCCTCTCTTCATTGTGGGACACTCCTAAGTCAGGGATGCGTCTTCCCAGCCCCAATGTCTAGACTTTATTTTACAGAGATTCCGAGAGACGAGACCCGACTTGGAGCTCCACTACTGGCTGCTGTGTTTTTGAAAGTTTTCCACATGATTATTCTGGGTCGCCCACAGTCAGCACAGGGAGCATTGTGAAGTCAGGACAGGTCTTCACTAAACAAAGTTAGAAAGGATGAAGAACTAGGTGGTGCCCAGACTCCACTGCTAACCATCCTTCAACGATCACAGAAGAGCATTCTGGGTAGAGTTGAGGGGAAATACGGGACAAACCTGAAAAAGACATGTATGTATTTGATGCATTCTAGTAGTGTGATTGCAGATCCAATGGTATTTCTGTTTCCAACTCTCTAAGGAAGTGTCAAACTGCTTTCTGCACCATTTTACATTTCCACCAGCATTGTATGAGATATCCAATCTCTCTTAATCCTTGGGAGCATTTGTTGTTCAATGTCTTAGGAAGCATTGCTGTTTTTACTGGGGTAAAATGAGGTTGCATTGTTGCTTTGATTTTGCCTTTCAAATAGCTAAGGGAGCTCTGGTAGCCTCGTGGTAAGAAGCTGCACTGCAACCCCAAAGGCACACATTTTGTAGCCACCAGCTGCTCCATGGGAGAAAGATGGGCATTCTCCTCCCTTGTAATTTACTGCTTCTGAAAACTCGTGGAAGGGTCAGCTGTGGGTCCGTTCCAATTTACACAACAATGCACGACAACAACAGCAAAGTAATAGCTAGTGATAGCCCTGGTGGCATAGTCTGTGGGGAGTTGTGCTTTTAATCTGATGGCCGTCCCTCCCCGGCAGTTCGGACGCACCTGCCTCTCTGAGGGAGAAAGCGGAGCAGTCTGCCCTCGTGACTGAGGCTCTCCCAACCCTCCGGAGGTTAGCTATGAGCTGGTTCCAGCTCAGCAGTGGTGAATTTGAATAGATAATGTTCTTGAGCATTTCTTCTTGCATTTGCTGCTTGTCTGAACGTCTTCTTCGGTCCTCTGTGCATTTGTAATCAGCTTGTCTTTCTGTTGTTGAGGGTTTGGGGTTTTCTGTCAATTTTAGAGCTTGGTCCCTTGTCAGGCATGTCTTTTCTGACTTCCCCGTCCCCCCCCCCCCCCGCTCTGTAGGTTTTCTTTTCATGCCTTCCAAGGTATCCACAATAATTTTGGAGCACAATCTTTTAGTCCAGTTGCCATGGTTTCACGATAGCACTGTTGATCCAACTTCCTAAAACCTGGGATCAGGGAGGAGAGGAGAGGAGAAAAGGAATGAAAAGATCTTCCCCCCCCCCCTTATTATAAATTTTCATTCAGAGTTTTTAGTGCTGGAGGCTCAGCTTCTGGCCGGAGGGTCTTCAGTTCTGGTCCTTTCCTGAGGCAGCACTTATCTTTTCCAAGTGAGCACTGAAACCAGGAGGAACGCTTTCTTAGCATCCTGAGAGGGACTCATTCTTAAAAGCTGCTCCAGGACTGTACTTGAGAACACCATCAAGCTCAGAAGAGACCCCACCCTTTCTACAAGCCATCACCCACGGGCCTAGGGTGCTCCGGCCCCTGCTCCATTCTCATCTGCATGGAATTGAGCTGTTAGCTTTGTAAACTTGCCACCTTTTCTCATGGATTGATTTCTGAGAGTAGAGTCCTAAATTAGTGACTATTGACTGCATCCAAGCAGCCAACCAGCCAGCCCAGTGCTGTTGGGTTGGTTCTGATTCACGCCGACCCTGTGGGTCGCCCTAGGTTTCCCGTGACGGACCTCTGTGAAAGCAGACAGCCTCAGCGTCTCTCATGGAGTGGCTGCTCCAGTTCAACTTCTAGATAACAGAGCAATGCTTCCTCCACTGCAGCACCAAGGCGCCTTTGACTGGACCCTTGGAGAGTGTCTGGGCTTTACTGTATGTTAATCCAAAGCCGGGTATCAGCATAAAACCAAGGGTAGCCCCTTACAGCCCTCTCACAAATAGCCACGTTAGTGAAATAACTACGTTAGTGGCTCCCGACTCGGGTCAGTCCCACACAGAGCAGAACGAGCCGCTGCCCCCTTGCTCATCAGGCGGGTTCGATCTGGAGGTCCCCACCGGATCATTCCTGGAAGTGCTTTGATAAATTGTTCTTCACAGTCCAGCTTTGCCTGAAAACCCTTTGGGATCCCCTTCAGCATCAGGGCGGCATGCGAGCCTCTTCTGAGAGGTGGACTGTGGTCATGCTTGAGGTGTGCGGGCCAAGAATGGGACCCAGGTCTCACACACGAAGGTGAGAATGCGACTAGGGGACCGTCAGCGCACAAAGACCCTCAGAGACCACCCAGCCCGAGGCCCTTGCTTCATTCCCAAGGAAACAGGAGTCCCAGGCTGATTACCTGAGCAGGCTTCAGACGGGGCTTAGCTCTGAGACAGAGGAGAGTCACTCTCCTCCACAGGTCTCCTCTCCGTCCCCTTCATGCTTGAAGACTTCCGTTCAGGCCTTGAGTTTACTGCAGATACACTTTCCTAATGACACTCACTGGCTTCCTGGAGCGAGATCACCTCTTTTTGTGTAAGTGAGATACTTAACCACTGCTAAATGAGACAAGTGCTGTTATATCTGGAGGAATATTCTTCCACTTTGTACATCACTCTTTGTCAAAGTGCTGTATGAGGTGACCTGGGTTTGCTGTGATGCTGAACCTTGTGCATGGGGCTGTCAAATACCAGAAGGGTTTCCCAATGTGGACAGTGTTTGGTGGAGCTCCCAGGTGTAAAACAGGTTTGGAAGCAGGAGTGGCATCCACTTCCTAAATCACATGCATCTGAAAACTCAATGAACTTGGAGAAACAACGATAGTTATGGGAAGGCATTAGGGCTTTTGTTCATAGAGTCGCTATGAATCGCATTCGACTCAATGGCAATCAACAACAACAAAGAAGTAAAGACTGTCTGTCTTGCAAAGTACAGCTCAGCGAACACCAGTTTTGTTGACAGAGATGTTCCTTCTGACCAGATGACCAACCGATGAGCAGAATATTCCAGTACTGCTTGTGTCGGAAGCAAGGGGCATTTCCAGTGTCTTCCAGTTCTGGCACTTCCTGTGCTTAGAGCCAGCTGGCAGGGCTGTTAGAAAAACAGGCCTTAACTGTGGCTATATTAAGACGTGCGACTTCCTTTGCCATTCTGGGACCTATCTTGGTTATCTCTTGGAATGTTTCAACGTGGCCCAAGAACTACAGACTCCCTCCGTAAGGACGGAATTAGAAACACACCCTGACCTCACCCGTGCCATTTTAAGAGTTACGAGGACCTCGGCCATGGCTGCAGGACCCCCAGGGCCATGTTGACAGGGCAACAGGTCACATGTCATCGCTGGAATTGGAAAGGAGTCCCCAGCACACCTGCTTCCAGACTCAAGGAAGATTGTGTTTCATCAGGTGGGCGAGCCTGCCAAAGGCCAAGTGTAGAAAGGGGATCCAGGCCAAAGATGGCATCAATCACCAGGCTGGTTAAACACGGACAAGCACAGAGCACCAGTGAATCGCTCAGGGGACGGTGTTACAGCGGACACACAGCCTTGGGCTCCAGGGCCACTCCCACACCAGGCTTGGGGAGGGCGATGAAGCCCAGTGCTGCTTCTGGATGCTGCTAAGAGGTCACCGCGGGTGGAACAGCAGGAGTGGCAGCTGTGTCTCTTTTGATGAAACCAGGACTTCTTGAAAATAAACAGATTTACTTCTTGTAAATAAGAGATGGAAGCAAACCTGGATTATTGCTGGAATAATCCACATGCCCCCAGGGTCCTTCATTCTGTGTGAAGCTCTGCTTCCCCTCTGGAGTCATGCTTGGCCCCACAGCAATGCTCCTGGGGGTGCAGAGTAACCAGCCCCGCGTGAGAGATGAGCAAGCTGAGACCCAGACAGGTGACCTCAGGGACCCGGGGGTCTTTACAGGCTGATTCCTTGCCTGCAGGAGAGCTGGGGAAGGGTGGGACAGACAGGCTCCTTCCCGCTGACATGGGCCATGTTCTAGTGCGGAGAAAGAAGCAAGGTCTGAGAACTCGCAATCCACTCGTTTGTTTGTTTGTTTGTTTTTGCAATCAACTCTTAACCATCTTGAGGGAGCTCTGGTGGCTTAGTGGTAAGGAGTTGTACTCCAATCCCAAAGGTCCATGGTTTGAATTCACCAGCTGCTCTGTGGGAGAAAGATGGGCATTCTCCTCTCACATGTATCACTGCCTCTGAAAACCTGCTGGAGTGTCCACTACGTGTCGGTACACAAGAACAACAACATCACTCTCCTAAGGGAGCTCCGGTGGCTTAATGGTAAGGAGTTGCACTCCAAACCCAAAAGCACACAGTTCGGATCCACCAGCTGGGAGAAATATGGACAGTCTCCTGCCATGCGGCTACAGCCTCTGAAAACTCACTTGGGGTCGCAAGTCAGTTCTGACTCGATGGTAACCAATAATAATGACATCACTATCGCAAATGTCCTGTTCTCCGAGCTTTTCAGGAGCTTGGTGGTTCCCTTATTACCTAGTGACACTGTTACGGAGATGACACAGGTGGGTGGCTTTACCAGACAAATGTACTCCCTTACCGTGCAGGTGATTAGAAGTCCAAGTTCAAGGAGCCAGCTCGGGCGAAGGCCTCTGTCCCTCAGCTCTGGAGGAAGACTCTTGTTTCCTTCAGCACCTGCAGGTCAACGCTCCTTTGAGCCTGCACATGCCCTGGTCCTCTTCAGCTTCAAGGAGCTTCCTAGCAAAGGGGCCCTGGGGCAGGACACACTCCACTCCTGGCAACTCTTTCTTGGCAGCATGAGGCCGTCCACTCTCAGCTCATTTTCTTCTCTTTGTAAGAATAAAAAAAATCATGACAGGCCACACCCTAGGGAAGCTCCCCTTCTGTCAGACTCAGTGATGGGGTTGGAGGGTTTAGTCACACCTTTGATGCTTTCATGCTACTGGGCTTACATGCCATAATAGGGGATCGCTACACAGAGACCCCGGTACCACTGCAGACTTGTGTTTGGAGTGAACACAGCTCAGGTCTTGACAATGGCCAAGGCCTTGGGACAACATCCTGCCCCAGGCTCATGTTCCAAAGTGCAAAGTGACGAAGTCGACAGAGGCTTGCCATGCCATGCCCTCATGTGACTGCCAATTGGGCCGTGCTCTGCTTTCTCTCCACCAGGGCCAGAAAGGAGAGAGTGGAGTTATGGGCCCGCCAGGCAAGCCTGGACCTTCTGGACAGCCTGGCCTTCCAGGTCCCCCAGGACCTCTGGGCCCCCCAGCTGCAGGTAAGAACTTCATCTTCCTGACCCCAGAGTGTCAGGAGATGGACCTACAGTACTGCCTTGTACTTCGAGTTCTTGTTGTTGTCATTAGGTGTCATCATGTAGGCTACAGCTCTCAGCGACCCGGTGAACAACAGATCGGAACCGTGTTCTGTCCGGTGCCGTTCTCACCATCTCTGACATGCTTGGGCCCATTTTTACAGTCACTGTGTCAGTCTATCTTGTTAGATGTCATCATGGAGACTCATAGTGTTGTTGTGTTATTAGGTGCCGTCAAGTGGAGCACGACTCATAAAGACCCTATGAACCAAAGATCTGAACGCTGTTCTGTCCGGTGCCGTCCTCACAGAGTGTCCTTAGGAACACTATTCTGTCCGGTGCCGTCCTCACAGAGTGTCCTTAGGAAAAACACATCTGAACGTGCCCTGTCCTGAGCCATCCTCACCCTCTCTGATGTGCTTGACCCCTTTGTTACAGTGACCGTGTCAGGTCATGTTGTTGAGGGTCTGCTCTCTCTCTGACCCTCCACCTTTCTCAGCATGGTGTCTTTTTCCAAGGACTAACACCTCCTGACAACACGCCCAGTGGTCTTAGAGCTAGAAATCACTAAAAATGATTTCTCAAAAGAGGGATCACTGGTGGCCTGGAGGGTAGAGAGTTGAACTGCTACCCCAAAGGTGAGTGGTTTGAGTCCAGCACAGGAGGAAGATGGGCAGTGTCCTCCTCTGGTGTGAGTGACAGCCTCTGAAAACCCCCTGGAAGGTCAGCGTGGAGACGTGTCTAGGGAGGTCCCTCAGCCTTTTTTTTTTCTTGATGGTAAAAATTTGTATTTAGAATTAGCCCGCTGGACTCAGTTTAGATGATCCCAATTTTGTTGGCAACATCCAAAGCATCAAAGTCAGGAGCAAGTGGAACACAGGCCTTCTTCTTTCCATTAGGCCTCATTGAGGTGTTGACCTTGGCCACATCAATGTCATAGAGCTTCTTTACAGCTTGTTTAATTTGGTGCTTGTTGACCTTGACATCCACAGTGAACACAAGTGTGTTGTTACCTTCTATCTCCTTCATGGCTGACTCAGTGGGCAGGGGAGACTTGATGATGGCACAGTGGTCAAGCTTGTTTCTCCTGGGGGCGCTCTTCCAGGGGGTATTTGGGCTGCCGTCGGAGTCTTCAGCGTCTTAGGCTGCTGGAAGGTGTGTGACGTGCAGATGATCTTTTTTTTTGGCTGTGAATGTCCTTCAGGACGCCTTCTTGGCCTTTAATGCCTTTGCGTTGGCTTCAGTTTGGGGACGGACAGGGACTTCCTTCTTCACTTTTGGTGCCATCTTCATAGATAGGGTCCCTCAGCATTTGAGTGGCCCCACTGACCTTGGAAATGCCTCTTCAGATCCACATGACCTTGGTATTGGGAGACCACCTCCCTCGTGCCATACTTGGATTCCAGAACATTCCAAAGGCTGGACATCCTGCTTACCACGACTTGATATCCCCTCTGAGGGCCCCTGTTACTTGGAGAATGTTCCATATCTGGAGAAGTCCCTCCCCGCCCCAGCCTCCTCTGGTGGTGGGATCCCTAGGGCGCTGGGCTTCCAACCCAAAGGTGGTGTTTCTCTGGCAGTTCCAATCCACCCACGGCTCCTCTGGAGACAGACAGACAGCTCCAAGGCTAGTCTCACTTCCTCAGCTGGATTTCCCCAGGCTAACTGCCTGGAATATACCCAGAAGTCCCCCTTTCCTGAAAATATCAGAGACAAAAAACTGGAACTCTTTATGCAGAATCTTACTTGTATTTTTTTTTTATTAGAACAAATAACTGGTTCAGTATAAGCACATGGCAGCCCCAGCTCCTCGTCAACAATAGCTCTGATTTTGGACGCATCTGTCAACAAGCGTGGAAGCCCAGGTGTGGGTCCCCCACCCACCCAGGAGTATCCTGGGACTGCACGTGCTTTCTTTGGTCCTGACAAGCCTGTTAGCTCATGTACTGTCCTGTCCTTCTGGAATTCCCAGACCATCCCTCTGCTTGACAGCCCAGATGCCATATGGCTTGCCTCGCTCCTTCGGAACCCAGTGGCCGCTGGTCTTCAACGTCCCCTTCCATTCCCAGGAGGAGGGGAAGTTTCTTTGCAGCTGTGTTGCTGGGCTATTGTTACCCCAAGGCAGTAACACTTGGTGTGACTCCCCACCCCACCCCAGTGACCTCCTCCCCTACCAGGCCACACGAATCCTTGGTCATACTTATCATCTATTTAAGTCAAAGTCAGAAACAATATGTGATACATCTGCAAGGTGTTTTCAGGTACTACTTCTTAGACTCTCTCCCTCCTAACAACAAAATGGTGTCGGAGGAGAGCACTGAATATCCCACAGACTGTCAAAAGAACAGACAACTCTGTCTGGCAGAAAGGGCTGAGTGCTCCCCAGAGACAAGGGCGGGGAAGCTCGGTCTCGGACACTTCGGTCAGTCAGGAGGGGCCAGTCGTGGGATAAGTCGTGGTGCTGGGAAGGATGTGGGGCAGAGGAGGAGGAAGGGCCTCCGAAGATGGACTGACACGGGGCCTTTTCCAGCAGGATCCATCGTTTCTTCTCTCTCCTCTCTTCCTGTGGGATAATTCGTGCTTTGGCACTTTTATCCCCACAAGAGGATAATTTCTCTACTGCGTTCACAGAGACCCGATCTCTCAATTAGTGAGCCCGCATTCATTCAGGAAGCCGTTGCTGAACAGAGCAGAGGTTTAAAATCATGAAAGGTTGGGTCAGGGCTGCGGTCTGTTCTCCAGACCTATTCAATCTGCAGACTGCAAATGTCGCCTTGGTGTGTGGTGGAGTCACATGGAGACCTTGAAGTATGGATAACTGAGGATGGAAATCTTTAAGTGTGTCTGCAAGTCCTGCGGCATGTGGCAGGGGCTGGGCATCTGGGCTTTCAAAGCAAAGATGTGAACTGCAGGTCCAGAGGATGCCCGCCCTGCAAGGATGTCCTGTTCACACACTCCTGGGACAGTTCCCGACTCTTCTCAGCTCCAGGAAAGAGTAAGTGGGCGGAACATTTGCAGAAGTTCCATTTTATTGCAGAAGAAACCCACTCATAAATGTCCCCGTGGGATCTCATACAGAAGAGGAACAGAGGAAAATGAAGAAAAAGCATCGAGTCCTTCCTCAGCAATGTGTTATCTGCATGAACCTCCTGTTAGAAGTAAATAAGCAGAAAAAGATTGTTCTTCTCATAGAACAGCGAAGCCCTGCGGTGACAGGAGCCGACTGGATGAGCCTCCCAAGACCCCAGGTCCAGGAGACCCTGGTCTTTTCAGTGTGTTCACTCCTCTCACACCTACGACTTCACACTTTGAATATGGCTGCTGCAGCCTTGCTCAGCCCCAGGCAGCCTGTCTGTCTGTGAGGATGAAAGGACAGAAGGCTGTGGATCCCATTAGCTGTACTGGGCACTTTCTCAGATGACCGACTTTTCTCTGGCATAGACATCACATTTTCCCAAACATGCCATATGGTCCCCTCTAGCTGCAAAAAAAAGTCTAGAAAGATAAATACCTACCAATCTAATCTCTAAAATGGGGGAGAGGAAGAATGCCACCTGGGAATGACTGTGCAACTCCCCAATGCCATGAAGGGACCCAGAAAATTGGCTCCCTAGTAAAGACCAAAAGCATCTCTTTGACCTTGGATTTGAGCTGACTCTGAAATGCTGTGGCCTTAATCATCTTTCTTTCTTTTTTCTTTTCTTTTGAAATTTTTTTGTGTGTGTACCATCAAATCGGATCTGACTAGTACAGGAGGAGATTGCCCCTCCTTCTCCAGCAGAGCATCTGGTGGATTCGAACTGCTAACCTCTGGGATTGTTGGGAAGTCCACTCATGTCTCTTGGCTCCAGTAACCCTGCAGTCTGTTGCTTCCTAGGACAACTTATAATGGGACCAAAAGGAGAACGAGGACTCCCTGGGCCTCCAGGACGATGCCAGTGTGGACCTCCCACGAACGTGAATAATAACCCTTCCTACGGGGAGTCCATATTTGGGTCCCCACGCGTTCCTGTGGTAAGATTCCTTCTGGGGAAATCTGGGGTTCTCTCAACATGACTGCCACCTTCTCCTTGCATGGCTTTGTAAATATTTTGCATAAACGAAATTCTCCTTCGTTCTGCTGGGTACACACTCACTGTTGGAAATCAGAAATCATTTGGTATGGCTCCATGCTTTGGGGGTAGTAGTCTTTTTGAAGAATCATTTTTACGTGTCAAGATAAAGAAATGTTATAGGCCTTAGTTGTCTGCAGTGAAATCCCCGTGAATATCTACAGTCTGTATAAACACCCTTTTCTGTTTGTTATTAAAAATAAAAGAAGCTCTGGTGGCTTACTGGTAAAGAGTTGTGCAGCTAGCCTGAAAGCAGGTGGTTCGAATCCACCAACTACTCGTGTGTGAAATGTGGGCAATCTCCGCCCGTGGGAATAACAGCCTCTGAAAACACACTGGAGGGTGAGCTGTTAGTCAGTTCTAACCCAACCGTACACAACAACAACTAAGTTAAAGAGAACTTCTAATAATACAAACACAGAGCAGATAATGTAATGGGCCTCTGCGTCATGCACCAGGGATCAACTCGTGCTGGCCGACGCTGGCTCCTTATTTTCTCTTGACGTCTGCTCACGGTGCCCACCACCCCTCGGGTGATTGTGAAGTAAGTCCTGACACTAACTCATCATGAACGCCACTCGACGTCTGCACCGTCCCCCACTGGTGGGGTCACTGATGCTCTGGTTAGCCAGTGTCCTGTATGTAGCAGGGGACGGGCAGGGGCTCCCACGCTTTTCATTACTCACCGTAAAGGACATCCCGAGTGTGAGAATCCAGTGAGAGTCTTTTCAGGTGTTGAGTTGTTTGATTGGATGCCATCACTTTTTCATGTATTAAGACTTTCAAACTTTTAAGACATTTAAATCATGAACAACCTCTTTAATATATCGAACTCAGACGTTAGTGACTGGATTGAGATGTGAGTGTCCAGACCTTGTCCTGCTTCGGGAGGTCACGGAGGGGAGATGTGCTGACCTGCTGGGTCACCACTGCTGACCAGTGCGAGGCGGGGATTCTGTTTCCCTGTCTAGTGCCTCCCCCGCCCCTTCCTAGGGGCATTTCCCAGAACCCTCACAAAGATGTTCTTCAGCAGATCTTTGTGGTCAACGACCAGAAGGAGCTGGAGAGGCTGAACACCCAGAACGCCATCGCCTTCCGCAGAGACCAGCGGGCACTCTACTTTAAGGACAGCCTTGGCTGGCTCCCCATCCAGGTAGCGCAGGGGGGACACTCAGGCCCCAGCACCTCCTGTTTCCACAGAAGGGAAGCCTTCTCCATCACGCATTTTCAGAGTCACCAGCCACAGAACCTTTCTCTGGGTGAGGAAGGCCCACGACCAAGAATCTAACCTGTGAGGCCACCATCTGGCTTTGGCCCAGCCTTACTGCCCCCCACAGAGCTCTGGACAACAGGACAGTCATGTTGCCCCCCACCCCCCGCCCTCTGCTTGGAGGAAGATGTTCTGAAGAGGCCCCAGAAAGCCAAGGGATACCCTAGAGGTGTCCCCTGAACTCAGAGCATCTGTCCCAAGTACCACTGGCCTGCCCTGCTTAGCGGCTCCCTGGACACCTGCTTCACAGTAACTGCCGTGTGTTTCTTTGTCTAGTTGACGCCTTTCTACCCCATGGACTACGCTGTAGACAGTCATGGCACCTGCGGGGATGGGGTCCTGCAGCCTGGGGAGCAGTGTGATGATGGGAACAATGACACAGGCGATGACTGCATCAGTGAGTGGGGGATGGGGGCCACAGTGTGGAGGGGATCCTGGGTGAGTGGGATAGTGGGGGGTAGGCACCATGGGGTGGGGGAGGAGACCCTGAGGCCTGGGGACCACAGGGTGAGGGTGGGGACCCTGGGTGAGTGGGCAGCCATGGGGACTCTGAGGCCTGGAGACCATGGGGTAAGGGGCAGGGGGATCCTTGAGTGAGTGGGGCAGCCGTGGGGACCCTGAAGCCTGGAGACCACAGGGTGAAGGTAAGGGGGATCCGTGAGTGAAGGGGACAGTGGGCAGTGGGCACATGAGGTAGGGCAGGGACCTTGAGGCCTGGGCACCACAGGGTGAGGGTTGGGGACCCTGGATGAGTGGACAGCCATGGGGACTCTGAGACCTTGGGACCACAGGGTGAGTGGGGCAGCCGTGGGGACCCTGCAGCCTAGAGACCATGGGGTCTGGACACTGCTGTGGCATTTTGAGACAGTTCCAGGCCCTGAGAGAGTGAATGTGATCTGTCACAGGTTCACTAACCTCTGACACTCAGGCCAGGTGTTAACTCCCTCCATCGCCCACCCACATCAGTGGCCTGGTCCCTTGGTGACGCGTGGCAGGGCAGGCCAGTTCCCCTCTCAAGCCCCGCCCACGGTGCATGACAGGAGTCTGAGGGCCACGCCTGGATGGGGCAGTATTTCCAACGGTGCATGCTCTGGGTGGCCTGTCTCCTGCCCCTTCTCAGGTCACACTTCTGTGTCCTGCAGGCTGTCACCGGGCCTACTGCGGAGATGGCTTCCGGCACGTGGGCGTGGAGGACTGCGATGGTGTTGACTTCGGCTACCTGACCTGTGAGACCTACCTCCCTGGGTAGGGCGCTCCGCACGCTGTCCCCGCCTCTGCTCCCTGCCGGCCTCCCCGCTCCTTCAGACACTGAGGTCTAGAGGTGGACGAGGCTCGGCCTTGCTCATGTCGCTGTTCATGGAGGCGGCAGGCAACATGCATGCACTGTCTGCCCCACCGTCATGGGGTCCTGGGGGGGGGCAGGCAGGGCCACAGCTCTCCCCAGGATGGAGGGGGCCATCCCTAAGCTCAGCTGCTGTCCGGGTGAGTGGCCTGTCCCCATGGTTACCACTCTGGTCTCCTGGGCAGTGGACCTGGAATGGAGTCCAGTGGAGGGCGGTGTATGGGGACTTTTCAAAGCATCTACACTCTAGGGAGTCTTCACTAGCTTTCTGTCTAGTTCTGCTGGTTGCTATCCCTCCAAGAAGACCCCAGGAGCCTGTATTCACATCATGGGCCCCTTGGTGATTTCTGAGGGACCCAGTTGGGAATCCACAGTAGTCAGAATCCTGGCCTCCACCCTGGTGCCGCCGACGCCAGTTCATGGCCACTGAGTCCCACAAGGCACTGATCCCACGCCCACCCAACAAGCAGCCTCCCGCACCTCCTTCCATGCACGTGGCCAATCCTCACAGGATTAGAGCTGTAGAATGTTCTAGAGAAAATGTGGAGGCACCTTCTCTCCATCTTTATCCAGCCTCTTTCTGGGTTCTAGACTGGACCTGCTGGTGCCAGGTCCCATAAGGGCCTTGTGACCCCACTTCCACGTCACCCCTTTCCTCCGGCCGAGTTAGACCCAGGCACGAGCCTTCGTTCCCGATCTCCCTTCCCTGTGCTTTCTTCCAAGGCGGCCTCCTCAGCTCTGCCCCTCTAAACACGTAAACATATTCTCACCAGGCCGAGGGCGTTATAAACCTGAACTCGGCCCACACATCTGAGGGCACCAGGCTTGAGCCCCTATGTAGCTGTGTCCAGTGCTGTCTGCCTGAAACAGGAAAATGCCCACAGGCAAGAGCCGGCTGATGGGCAGAGAGTCTGAGGAGACTTGCGGCTGCACTGAGACAGCGGAGTGTAGACAGTCAGAGGTGGAGGACGGGGCCAGCAGGTACTTAGCCACCTGGCACAGGAGCCTTGGGTGAGCGAAGGTCTTCAGGGGGGTGTGTAGTATTTAACACGCTGCCCTGGATTATCACTGAGCTTCACAGAGGTGTGGACCTGAGCTGTCAGTATGATAATCGTTAAGCCATGTGTGGCTGGCACGTGGAAATCAACTCAAACCAAAGGAAATAAAAAGCCTCCATTTGGTCAGCCACGTTTTACACGTGGTCGGTCTGCCTTCGTGAAGCACCCTGTGGTGGAGGACACGTACGTCTGTGGGGGGCTCCGGGGACAGGGAGGTGCTGCTTCTCTGGTTAGGACAGTACTGGTTCCTCTTCCACCAGAGTCCCCAGCCGGGGCTCAGGGAGGACCTTGGAGGACTACCTGTCCTCCTCCAACTCCTTAACCTCCCAGGGAAAGAGAGACAGTCTTCGTGGAGCCTGTGGCCGCTGATGCAGTCAGAGCACAGTGGCCAGAAAGGGACATTGTAGAACGTGGCTGTGTCTCGGACGGGTGGACATCCTCCTGCCTGGCCGGCACCACCTTGACTGAGCCCTTGTTCCCTCCAGGTCATATGGGGATCTGCGATGCACCCCTTACTGCTCCATCGACTCCACGCCCTGCCGCTACTTCACGTGAGGACGTGAGGGCAGGTGAGCAGCCCACGGGACGGACGACGCCAGCCTCTGCACCTCGTCTGTCCTCACCGCCTCGTGCCGTCCAGCCCATTTCCACCAGTCCTCGTACAGCAGAAGCAAGGACAGCTCTGACTGCTGAGACGTGCTCGTAGCTCTGACTGGAAGAGCCCGGGACTGCCACATCCTGTCTTTAACGCCAAGTTCCAGAAAGCCGACACGCCCAAGCTGGCCATGGTCCCATTGCTGCCATTGGGCCCGAGGGCCAGCCACAAAGCTCTTCCTCTCCTGGAGTGGCACTGACCACCCCAGCTGTCACCCTGGCTTAGTACTGTTAGACACGTGAACCCTCAGGGCCTGTCCTCATCTTGTTGGGGGCCTGGTGTGGGGTGTCTCAGCCCTCTGGCTCTGAGAACACAGGCCTTCTCCCCCAGGCAGCCCACCTCAGGTCTTCTGAGGCCCAAGAGGAACAAGGCAGGGACGGGACCCTTCCTCAGTGGTTTGCCTGTGGGAAGACCTCTGCTGGTCACGGCCGGCACAATCTCATGGACATGACCCCCCCAGGAGGAGACATGCTGTGAAAAAGTACTGAGAAGGCCCCACACTCATGCCCACCCTGGACGGCAGGTGGGGGCTCAGGCAGGGCCTCTGGCCATGCAGACAGTGGCCGAGCTGGGCCTCCTCCTCTGAGGCATCCCAGAGGTGGCTCTTGCCTTCAGCACCCAACCCACACTGACCTGTGCCTCACCTGAGTCCATGGATGCCCACCCCGCCCATTTCCAGCCGTCTGGCTGAGAAGACTCTTACAGAGTCCCACCTCCCGCACGTCCCCTGCTGCGTGTGCAGTGGGGACAGAGACCTTTCTGTCTGGAGCACCTTCTCCCTGTGTCCTGCTCACAGGCTCCCCTGAGTGACCGTGGCCTCCTCTTGTGTCCTGGCCTTGCAAAGCCTCGGTGTCAACTCTGTCTGCGTAAGCTGTTAGAAACGTGGCTCAGAGTCGAGACAAAACCATGGCAGAACAAAAGAACTCAGCAAGGCATTCTACTTGTGCAGAAGGGTGCCTGGGTAGGCCTCAGTAGTGGGAGGTCTTCTCAGGACTTTTCTCTGACATAAAAGCTAAGAGACTGTGCCTCACCCCATCAGTCAAGGGTTTCAACCTCACAGTCTTATTCCAACCCGGTTTGCCAATTTGGCCTGTGCTTGAAAGGAGAAGGCTTCAAAGGAGAGGCTAGTGAGGAAGTGTGGAATGCCTTTGTTTTGGAGTATGGTAGCAGAACTGGCCTTGGCTGGTTCAAAAGAAGTGTACAAGGGCAAGGCAGTTTCTTTCAGTAATTTTCAGAAAAGGGTTCTTGTGTCAGCTTCACCTCCACCTTGTAACTTTTGAAGTGTAGGTTCATGTATTGTGTTTCTTACAAAGCTTCTCCATTCTGTGGTCCTTTCCTGTATGTGAGCTGGCTGTCGCCACCATCTGCCCATCGCCACCATCTGCCTGTCACCACTGTCTTCCTCCAGTGTGGCTGAGCTTAGCTGCACTGAAGGGGACATGGCCCTGTTACCAGATGGAAGGACACGCCAGGCTTTGGGACAGACTCAGCACACAAGTGTCTCTAACAGGGCCGGTAGTGTGCTGGTAGAATGGTCTACCAGGTGGCTGCCAGCCAGAGGGACTGTCCCCAGAGGTGGGCACACTGGCCAGCCCAGTTCCCTGAGCCTCTGCTCCAAGTCCTGGGAGATGCACCTCTGTGCTGACAATCACCACCGTCACCACCCTGCAGCCTCGGTGCTCCAGTCAGCTGTGATTCAAAGCAACCCCGTGAACGGCAGCTCTGAGCCCCGCTCACCATCCTCACCCTCTCTGCCGTGCTCAAGCCCGTTGCTACGGCAACTGTGTCGGTCCACTTCGTGGCAGGTCTTCTCTTTCGCTGACCCTCCACCTATCCCAGCACGATGTCCTTTTCCAAGGACTGGTCCCTTCTGACGACACGCTCAGACTCCGTGAGACAAAGTTCAACCATCCTTACCTGTTAGAACTGCATTTCTCTGAAGACAGACCTGCTTGTTCGTTTGGTCCACGAGCTATTCAGTGCCCTTCTCCAACACAATCAAAGGCATTGATCCCTCTTCCATCAGCCTTATTCACCGTCCAGCTTTCCCACGCGTAGGAAGCACTTGAAAGCACCATGGCCTTGGATCAGGTTCACTTTAGCCTTTGACATCCTTCCTCTTGAAGACTCTGGAGAGGTCCTTGACCGCAGACTTTCCCAGGACAACACGTCTTTTGATTTGCTGACTGTTGCCCCTTGGATGCTGATTGTGAATCCAAGTTGTTGGTGACGTCCATCTTTTCTCTGTCATGGTGTTGCCCATCGGCCCGGTGGCGAGGACTGTTACTTTCTTGACGCTGAGATGTAATCCATATTGAATAAACGTGGTTCATTTCCCCACTGTGGCGCTCTCATTCCTGCAGGTCAAGGTCAAGCACTGCTGGGTGGGGTCAGGGCCATTTCAAGTCCACTTCCTGGACTGCGCATGAGGTTTCTGAATATGGAAGGGGTCCAGCTGCCACACACTAACCCATCCACCACCTGGAGGCATCTTGGAATAGACGTGACAGTCTGCTCCCAGAGCTCACAGATTGAAAAGCCTGGGGAGCGATGTCCCTCGGCACACATGGGTCATCAGGGGTTGCGATCAGCCGGCGTCAGTACCGACAACAGTGCTTCAGTCCGCACCAAGTCAGCCCAGGTGCGTCAGAGTACGCTCTGCTGTGTGCTCAGGGCTGCTCTTGGAACTGCACAGCCCTGTCTACTGGGGGATTCAAACCCTCAACCTTTTAATTAGCATTTTGTACCACCCAGAGACTCCTGAATTGCAATGGGGCGAGGAACCCACTCCAGAGGGAAATGAAGATAATTAAAAACCAAACACAGACTTTGCAGCACTATTTATAGTAAATAGCCCAAGTGGAGAATGAGTCAGAGGCCCACTGTCAATGGTCTGGGGAAATACACAGCAACAAGAATGAGCTAATTGCAGTCACATTATGACAGCTAGACTCTGCCCATCCCTGGACGGCCCCATCTCTGAACCTCGACTTAATCCCGTCATAAAAACCACAAACAGCCCTTGAGTGGAGGCACATCCCAGCTGAGCCTACTCCAGCTTGGGGGGTTTCATCAAATAGAAGAATAAACTGAACACCGTCTTCCCACCTGTGTCGTGACAATGAGCTCACAGACTGACCAAAGGTATCTTTCCCTGAGTGACCACAGTCACCACCCATGGGCCCAGAGGCTCCCCGGACGTGGTCTCCCAACTCGCCCCTTGGAGTGGAGCTTCTCAGAGGGAGCCAAGGAGAGCTTACAACTCCGGCCTCCTCTCATTCAGACAGTGTGAGAAACACATTGGCCCCTGTCAGCAGGGGGGTGGGTTCTTTTCAGGCCCAAAGGGTTTTTGGTTCAGGATGAGACAATTCAAGAACCACAAGCTGGAGCCCTGGGGGACAGAGCTCTGGTGGCCTAGTGGCAAGAAGCTGTACTACAATCCCAGAGGTTCGTGGTTCAAATCCACCAGATGCTCTGCTGGAGAAGGAGGGACAATCTCCTCCTGTACCAGTTAGGTCCGATTTGACGGTACACACAAAAAATAATAAAATGTTTTTTAAAAAAGAGAGAGAAGCAGCCCTGGGGGAAGGAGAGCAAAGCACTGGGGGAAGGATGATTAAGCGCTTGGCTGCTGAGAGGTCGGTGGTTTGAGCCCCCAGCCACGCTATGGGAGAAGTGTCCACTGGAACCCTAGTGGGGCAGCTCTAGGATCACCCCCTTCTAGGGAGAAACAGATCTGGCAGCAACAGACTCTCCCCGTGCCTGCCCACCCTCTTCACAGAAAAGCAAAGGGGCTGCATAGGAGCGCTGCTATTCTGCTGGGGAGACAATACTAGGAAGAATTTCCTGTCAGGTAATTCTGGCCCCTTTGTTTATCAAGGAACGCGAGGAGACCCCTCACCTCCCTCCAGCTCCTCTGGGTTTTGGCTTTTGATGTCTAACCCCTGACCCGTCCTGCACCCCATGTCTCCAGCGCCCTTCCACCGCTCAGCGCCCGGAGGTGGGAGAGTGAAGGCTGGCGGCCGTAAGCCTTGTCTTGAGGCTCACCTGGGGGGCCTTCTGCCCTGGCGAGTGGGCCTTCCGATCACCTGGAGACGCCCGCCTGCATTTCTGGGGAGAGTGTGCATCTTTCACAGCCTTCCCGGAGCTGCTGGCGGTGCCAACACAGGACCACAGTGAACGCCACTCTGGGGACATGTCTGGGCTGAATGAACCCAACAGATTAAAGGCCCCAGAGAGGGGTGGGGGGCTGGTTAACACCTCCCTTTAGAGGTGGTCTCTGGGTCATCCCCTCTTGGATTGGTGACCATCGACTGCTTTGGTCAATGGAGTCTCCAGGCTAGGCGGGGAGGTGACTAGCCAGGTTAGGCCACCAAAGGCCACATAGCTTCTCAGAACACTTGATCCAGGGTAAGGCAGGCATCACGTGAGGTGGCCAGCGAGAGACTGCCGGGCAGCAGCGGCCTCCAGCTGGCACCCTGGTTGACAGTCCCAGATGAGCCTGCTTCTGGCCATCCACACCTAAGCAGGATGTGTCGGGCTGTGAACCCGAAGGTCAGCAGTTTGAGCCCCCAGCTGCTCCAAGGAGGACGGGCAGCCTCCACCTGTCCATGCCCATCCCTGCAGCTGGAGGAGGGCCGCCTGCGGGTCAGCACTGACGCTGTGGCAGTGGCGTGTGTGTGTGCGTGCGCGTGGCTTGGGTTTGGGCGTCCAGCCAGGTCAGACGCCCAAGGAGGACACGGTGTTAAGAGCCCAGCTGCTGACAGGCCAGGACTGGAGCCTGGCAGCAGCTGAAGGAGGGCGTGGAGCCCACTTTTGCAGGTAATATGGCCTTGTGGACCCCACGTGGCTGTCCTGCTCCGTCCTGCGGGGCCACTGTGAGTTCTCACCGACGCTGTGGCCATGGAGGGAGCTGTGCTGCCCACCCCAAGGCTGCACCTCTCGGGGGGTTCAAATCCACCAGCAGCTCCTCCGGAGAAAGACGGGCTGTCTCCTCCAGGGAATGTGCAGCTTCAGACCTGATGGGGGGGGGCGGCTGAGAGCGGGTTCTGACATGACGGCAGTGGGCACGACAGGGCAGTGAGCATGAGAGGGCGGCGGGCGCGAGGCGGCAGTGGGAGTGGGCACGAGAGGACAGGGTGTGAGAGGGCAGCAGGCCCAAGGGGGTGGCAGGTGTGAACGGGCAGTGGGTTTAGCTTTGTTTGGACCCAGCAGTGCAGTCCGAGCAGGGCTCCGGGACCCCTGCAGGAGCCATGAGCGTCTCCTGGGACAAGTGGTCAGCCGCCTGGAGCTGCCTTAGAATTGGGACCATGTTCTCAACTCAGGAGCAGCAGGTGGTCAGGTCCACATGGCGATGATGCCAACCAGGCCGTGCCTCTGATGTCCCCACGGGAGAATGATGGGTGACCTGTGTGGTTTCCAGCCGCCACGCCCCAGTGGAGGGTCTCTGTGCATCCGGACTCCATGGTCGTGCTCTCAGTGTCGGAAGCGTGGGCTGTGTGTAAAGGTGCGATCACACTAACTATCCCAGTTCACACACCGAGTCCACCTCCTGTCCTGTCACTCTGAACCGTCCCACCAGTTGCTTTATTTCCCTCCCTCTCGAGTCTCAATGTCCCCTGTGTCTGTATGATGACAGCACACCCAGGCGAGACCCAGGGCCTCGAGTGGACATGCCCACTGTCCTAGCCAAGGCCTCCCAAAATGCTCCATCAGTCACGAGGTAACCAGGCCAGGACCAGACCAGCCTGCCCAGTACAATCTAGAATGTGCGAGCAAATAAGCCCTTAAGCGTCCCCCACTGCTGGTCTGTTACATCCCTAGTGCACACCTGTGCCCACGTCCACTGTGGCAAACGCACCTGCCACTCCCCAGGTGAGACCCCTTGCTCAGTCTCCCCCCCCCACCTCAGGGAACGGAGTCTGCTCGGAAACGGAAGAGGACAGAGCAGCCTTACTCCTCTCCTGGTTCACGTCACGTCTCTTCTGGCTTGGAACAAACTGAGAGCATCCAATCAGCTGAAAGGTGCCGGGGAATCTGTAAAAAGTCCAGGGTCCCCGTCTTTAACAGTCTGTGGGGGGGTGGGATATCAACCTCACAAAGCTTTGTTCTGAGTGGACAGTGGGGAGCAGGACCATCTCCTGCCAAGAAGGGACCCTGAGGGGCCAGAAGGCGGGTGGAGGGCTTCCACGCATCCCAGGTGGAAGGAGTCTCGTAAGACCACCCAGGGGCACCTGCGAAGACAGGCCAGTGATCGGCTTGTGAAGGGTCACGGCCCTGAGGCCCAAGGAGCAGGTCAACTTCACACACCTGGGTCCTTCCGAGGTCAAACCACCTGACAGCGACTGGCCATGGTGCTGAGACCCAGAGGTGAGCGTGTCCCACCAGGCCAAGTGGAACGGCCATGGGTGCCAGGGTTGCCGGCGCTGCAGGGTGTCCTAATTCTGCATCTTTACGGACTCTTTCCTGTCCAAAAGCACAAAGGAATCACTCGGTCAGTGCAGCGTGTGGACAATTCGCCCCAAGTTCACGTCTCACTGACTTTCAGTGACGGCAAGAAAAAAAAAAGGACAAGAACACTAATGAATTGCTGACCTTCACTTTTTATTTAAATATAATGATTTGTTAATAAAATCAAGAAAACTTTACACAGCAAGTATCTTACACAATGTAAACAGCGTGGCTACTTCATAAATCAAGCAAAATACAAAAGAACAAGAGAATAAAACCCAAACAGAAGCAACAAAAGCCCATGTTTCCTAGCACTTCAGTTCAGCTGGTTTTCGAACCTGCTGGTTAAGGCCTGAGTCTGGAAATCCCACCTTCCTTGTCAGATGGAAGCAGTCCGTCTGGCTGGACCAGTAAGTCCACGGCTACAGTCAGACTCATCTTTCATGATGATGTGATAAATACATTTCTCTCACACACATACACACATCCTACTGAACTAGCCTCTCAAATAAGGACTTTGGAATTTTCAAGTTTTCCCACCACCAAAGCACATAGTAAGTTCACACGTAGAATTAATGCTTCTGCCACAGTGACAGTGTTCGTGAGGGGCGGCACCACCACAGGCCAGCCCCTTCACGTCTGTACCAGGCGTGCCAAGGCCCCTTGGTTAACCCCGTTACTACAAGACCGACAGAAGAGCCAGCTAAATCAAAGGGCATTTTTCCTAAATGAGACTTCACAGCCCTGACCATCCATCAGGACCGTCTCTGCTCCCGCTGAGGTGGACAGGATGGGCCCCTCTGTCTGCCTGTGTCCACTGGCTAGGACATCGAGTATCTATTTTATGGACACTGAGTTCTGGGAGGGATGAGAACAGTCCCTGCAGGTCAGAGTCCAAGCAGGAGGCGGCCAGTGCTGTGCCCGCAGCAGGCACTCGGGTGAGCTGAACCCCACAGGAAGGGGCTGGGAAGACCCTCAGAGAGGAGCGGAGATGGGGACTGAGGGAGGCTCTGCAGGCCGAGGGAGGGCCCAGGGCAGAAGGGCAGGAGACGGCTTTGGCTGGCAGGAGGACTGTCATGAAAAGCAGGTTTAGAAGCCAAATGCTCCATTTCCAAGGAGAAAAGATTCCTTCCACCACCGGGTCAGGCGGGGCCCATGGTGTCCAGAAGCACTGGGAGCTCTGTGCTGAGACCTGGGCTGAGGCATGCTGGGCAGGGACTGAGGGGAGATGGGGCTAGGCTGGGCCTCTGCTGGGCCGGGGTCGAGCTGAGGCTGAGCGGGGCCTGGGCTGAGGTGGGAGCTGGGCTGAGGCCAAGCCGGGCAGCACTGCGCAGGACAAGTGGGCACGGACGGGGTCTGGAAGCCACATGCTGGCTCAATACATGTAGGGCCACGGACGGGAGGGACCTGTATGTCCCAGCCTGATAACCCCAAATACCTGGTTCTGTCTGTACAAGTCGACTCTGGGAGAGAAAAAGCAGAGATGGGACCAGAGACCCACCCCAGGTCCCGTTCCTCACACCGGCCCAGCTGAGCAAGCTCAGGACAGCAGGACAGTCCAGTGGCCACTCACTAACAGTCTCAGCCTCGCAGCCTCCCACCGTAAACCCGCTGCTAGCCCAGGGCACGAGGTGCCACTGACCTGCCCCAGGTGGGGACCCAGGTGGGGAGGGAGGGGCACGAGAAGGAAGGGACACTAACACACTGACTAAGCCGGGGGGGGGGGGGGGGAGCGTCCCAGAACACGTGTGTGTCAATGAGACGCGGCCACGCCAATTACAGGTGACTCATCAGACACTGGGCAGGGACAGCGATGACTGGCCTGCCCCGGCGACCAGACTCCACTGGGAACCACACACTACCAAAGGCCGTCTCCATGAAAACACTCGTCCATGAGGTCAGGCACAGACAGCAGGGTGGGCGCAGGGCTGACGCCCCGAGGGCGTGCCCACTCCCCACGGTGCAGCGCCTCTTGCCACCCTGGCAAAGGAGCACCCTGTGGACTAGCCCAGGCTTCTTCAGCGCCCCTCCCTTCCTACAGTTCCCTTCCCTCAAGCCCACCGGATGAAGGACCCTTGATTTCGTCTCTGTGCAAAGGCAGCACAGAGTCGCACGCGTGTCACGATCCCCACATCTGCCAGTATCCAGCTCTTCTGCCTTATGGAGTCAGAACAGCTCCAGTGGACAGGAGAGGTCTGAGGAAGACTTTCGAGCTCCAACAAGAGCTTGGGGGAAGGGAGGAGGCACACGTCCCTCTTGTAGGTGCAAGAGAGAGGGGCCAGCCAGCAGACACCAGGACCTGGTCCCAGATCCGTCCTGCACAGGACGGTAAGGCCGGCCCAGGTGACGCTTCCCCACCACCCTGGACGACGATGTCAACAGTGTTCTCTGCAGCAATCTGAGGTTCCCCTCCCTCTCCCATCCCTGGCCACGGGTACAGGCCACCAGGCCACTCAGGAAGCCACAGGCTAGAAATGGAACTGCTGGCCCTCTGACACCTCGGCTTCAGAGTGAGCTGGGCCCGTGCACACTTCCTGTGGTTTGGTTAACATCACCAAACTAGAGTACAGCATTCTCAGTTCTTCTAGAAATCTACTTAAACCTCGAAGCACAAACCGTAGAGAAACAACATGGGAAGACACCACCACCCTCCGAGGCCTGCAGAGCCTGTGCTTCTGACGGCAACCACTCCTCACGTGCTCCCGAGGCACTGGGCTCCCCACACGCACAGCCTGGCCCGGCCAGCAGGAGGTCAGTGCACCGAGGTGGACGTGCCAGGCCGGCGGGAGGTCAGTGCACGGAGGTGGACGCGCCTGGCCGGCTCTAGTCGTCGCTGTCACTGCCAGATTCGCTCAGATGCAGGTCATTTCCTACAGAAGAAGAACCAGTCAGCAAGCGCACAGCTCAGGAAAGACCGCTGCCCGCCCCCCTCGCCTCGGTGATCCGTCCTGTCACGTGTCAGCGTTACGTTTCAGGAGCAGCTGCCACACCAATGCCCAGGAGGCATTCCATCACGGGGGAAAGGAACTGGCATGCCGAGAAAAAATGGGGTTCTGAACCTGGGCATTCAGGGGCAGCCTCCTCCCAAGAATGTGAATTTCTGCCACAGACGTGGAATCAGGAGCAACAGAGAACCCCAGCACGTAGCTTTTGCTTCAGCTTTTGTTAAAATGTAGATTCTGATTCAGTGCTTTTGGAGTAGAAATGCAAATTCTTAGGAAAGTAGGCAAAGCACCTTCAACCTTCAAGTACAATGAAGAACTAGGCCAAGGTCCCGGTGGGCCTGTGGGCCTTTCCACCCGTGCGGGGAAGAGAGGACACTGAGCCAGGTGCTGCGTAAACCGGTGCAGAACGGGCCCAGTGTGTCCCTCAGGGCCACTGCAGCACTCCGGACACCTGGGGACACTCCAGGAGGGGACTGGTGGCCTTGTCTGGGCAGAGGTCTGACGAGGAACAAGGCAAGAATGGCCCAGCACAACGTGTCCAAAGTTGAGAACATTCAGCCTGCCGCACGAAGGGGTTGCTGCCAAGACCTTGAAAAGGCAGTCGCGCGGGAGAGCCTCTGTCGGGGCCCCAGGCTGTGTGAAGAACTGTTCTCCCCCAGCCCTGGAACAGGGCCGCCTATGTCCGAGGGTGAGGGAAAGCAGCCAGGGGTCACTAAGTCCAAGCATGCGGACCGACGGGTCCCCGAGCCTGTGCACGGGCTGGGCTTGGAGCTGCAACGAGGGCCTGGGGCTGGGAGCGGGTAGACGGGTGGGCAGTGGTTCTAAAGGCTGGTGATACACGGAGTCAGAGGCTGGCTGAGGGCGCAGCACTGCCCAGGACCCACAAACCTGGGAGCGGGCCTTCTTGGCTCTGAGCTGCCGCTCTGGGCTGTGCCACCCCGTCCCTTTCCCGCCCACGTCCCTGAGGGTCACACAGACAGTCACCGCTGGGAGCCGCACTTACGGAGGGTGTTCATGAGCTGGCTGCTGCCCTGCGGCCGCCCGGTGCCATTGGCCACGGCGGGTCGGTTGCCGTAGGGCTGCTGGTGCAAGGGCTGCGGTGGGGAGCCCGGGGCACTGTCCTCGGCCCCGCTGCTCGAGCTGTCGTCGTCGCTGGCCGAGGAGCTCTCCGAGTCCGATGAGCTGCTGTCACTGCTACTCATCTGCTCGATGATGTCCACCTCGGCCCTCAGCTCTGCGGGGGAAGGATGGGGGGACGGGGACGTCAGTGATTCCCACCCGCCCCGCGCAGGACCCAGTCCCACCATTCCCCAGGGCAGAGGGCCTCCCACCAGCAGCACCCAAGTCCCACCCGCTCCTGGCTGGGAGCCTTCCACCAGCAGGACCCATGAGACTCTCTCTTTTAGAGTCTCTCTTTCTCTCATTTTCTCGCTTTCCTCTCATTTTCCACCTTTTCAAGCATGACCTCCCTCTCTAAGGACTGGCCTCTCAATATACCCAGAGTTTCACCCTCCAACTGTACTTGGTCCAAGACACACCTGGTTTTTTGGGGAGTCCCTGGGACATTAGGTGGCCATGCTAAATTAAATTCTGGAGCTCCGGCATAAACCCTTGTCAGATGGGCAGAAGCAGCCACCCTCAATCCTCCTGGTAGCCCATGCTTCCCAGAGCCCCCCAAGTCAATACGGGGCCTTCAACCCCTGCAGAGCATGGACCCTCTGTCCCGAGGTGGTAGCACGCTTCTGGAAATGTCTTCTTACCTCTTTTGATGTCGTCCAGCTGAGGCTCCGGAGAGGGGTTATCCTTCACGGGGGAGGATGTCTTGGGGCCAGAGGGCGGCTTCGTGGGCGCTCTGAAGGGCATGGGTGGTGGAGGCGGAGGGGGCTGTGGAGGCTGCGAGGGGCGGGCCTGGATTTTACTGCTCCCCTCAGCCCTGCAGTGAGAAACGGGAACACAATCAATCAGAACAGCAACAACTCAGGTTCTCCAACGCTGAGGGCACCTGTCTGCAGGCTGCACCACCTCCTGCTCTCTGCTGACCTGAACGTCATGTGTGCTACACTGACTAGCCATGCCGCAGCGGGTGGCCACAAACCCATCTTACCAACAGGAAGGATGGGTCTACTTGTATTCGATACAAAATTACAATCACAAGTGTATGATTTCCTAAATAAAATTAGTTTCTGAAATACCACCCTGTTGGCCAATTTCCCCATCACCTATTTACTTCTCTGTCATGTAAGCTCCTGCCCGTGAGAAAGAGACCCACTCCAAATTCAGAAACGTCCACCCCAACTCCTGATGCAAGCTGGCCCAGCCAGGACTCAGCACGCTGCAGTGTGAACACAGACCACTGCAGGCTCTCGGCAAAATGCAGGTTCCGACTGGGAGGGCCCGAGACCCTGAATTCCTAACAACTGACAGGACACACCGACAGTCCCCAGGCCACCACGCAGTGGACGGGGCTCCCGGATGTGACACTGGGGAGACACAGGGGCTCCGGGATGTGGCACTGGGGAGACACAGGGTACCCAGCTCTCCGCAGAGAGGCTGCCCCATGAGAACTGAGGTGAACCTGTGGCTCTAAGCTTCAGTCTCATCTACTCAGGTCCATTTCCTGGGTAACGGAATCCAGGACATAAAAAAAGGAGAAACGGTGAACATTTTGTCACATGTCACCGTATAACGTTTAACACAAGTAACTTGAAAAATAAAGGAAAAATTAATTATGAAGAAATACTATACAGGTATATGACTTTCAAAGCTAACATGTCAAAATCTGAGTAAAATGACTGAAGGATGACTATTCATTTCATCCGTTAATTTTTCACAAGTCAACTCCACTAAAACGTTTAAATGACTGTATTTATAAACATTTCCTTTACATTCTGTTTAGCAGGGACATATTGAACACAATGTTGAAGCTAGATAAAAATAGATTTTTTCCTAAAAACAGCACCTTCTGAAAGTCACTTCTAAGAGTTAGACAACACAGAGTGCATGTTAAAACGAAGCAGCAGTGCCCGGCACACGACAAACTGCTCTGTAAACAGTGGGGGCTGTTCTTCTCAAGGAGTGACTGGGAGGAAAGGGCCTGAAGTCGGGAGACAACCAGGCAGTAACACTCCTGTTAAAATGTCAGTACCTTGCCAATGTGTTGGGAAGTGACAGACAGAACCCGTTTTACATCTAACAACAGACTGAATTCTGACCTCCAAACAAAAGCTAAGGGTCCACACCAGACGTATAACGCCTGCCGGGTTACACACTGAAGAGCAGGCTTCCAGGGAAAGGGGCCAAACTGCTTCAGGATCACCGTGATCTCAAACGGACCCTGTGAAGAACCGGAAGAATCACGTCCTCCAAGCGCTCCCCCTCAGGCTGAAACTGGCAATCTTGCCCTTAAGGGGATACTACAGAAACCACCACGACATCAGCAAGACCGGCTTTATCCTCATGTTACCCATTCCTCCCACAGCCATGAACAGCGTCCACGGTCTCGGTCTCAAACAGGTTCGCATTTACTGCATTTGAAGCCAAGACACAATTTCTGACTTGTCCTGGATCACACAGACGAGGGCACACACACTCTACGTAAGCCAACGTCCACCATGTCCTTATCCTGTTGCTCTGCGTCCGGTCACCTGCCCCATGCCCAGTCACCGCCCAATCACCCATCCAGTCACCGCCCCGCCCGGTCACCCATCCGGTCACCGCCCCGTGCCCGGTCACCCATCCGGTCACCGCCCCGCCCCGTCACCCGCATACCTCGTCTTCTTGACCTGGATGCTGCTGCTGAGCTTCTCCAGCACATACTCCCCGGTGTCGTGGTTGATAATGAGCACACAGTCCTTCTGATAGGGCCGCTTGTTCCCCTTGAACACCGTCAAGGGCGGCGTGGAGCCCTAGTGACCACAAGGAGAAGATGAGCAGGTGAAACGCGCCGTGACACAGAGGGTACAGACGGCTCTCCTGTATCAGAGAGCCCAGCTACGATCAACGGTGGCCCAGCGGTAAGGAGCTGTGCTGCCAAGCCAAAGGCGCGCGGTTCGAATCCACAGCCGCTATGCGGGAGAAGGATGAGAAATCTCCTCCCACACAATTTACTGGCCCTGAAAACTCACGGCAAGGTCGGCTGTGAGTGACTCGATGGTCGGTAACACCCACCACTATACCTACCAGGGACAGTGCCGGGGAGGGCGGCGTTCAGACCCCCACAGTGAGGACACAGGGGAGGTCAGCATTCAGACCCCCACAGCACCCAACAACAAGCAGCAGCTCATCACACACTTTGTCAGTTACTGACAAGCAGAATAAACTCCATTTTTATTTTAATACCTCTGGCTTTCTGGGGGAAAACATTAAACAATACAGCAAGATATTCAACTCATTCTATTCAACTGATTCTAAGCAAGCAAGAGAACATGAATGTTTTCAATGCTCGTGTCATTTTTCCCGGGCTTGGAAAATGCTACAAATACCGGTTGTGAGTGAAGTAGGAAAAAGAAACTGGCCGTCACGTGGGGATGTGGTGGGTGCAGCCGCTACAGTGGGCTGACCGTGCTACTGCTATGCCGTCTGCAGAGCCTCGGGTTCCCTGAAGCCAAGTCACCTAACACGAGCATTCTCCCAGGACGTGGCCTCGTGAGGGGGCAGCCCGGGAACCCTGAGCTGTGGAGACAACAGAGTGGACGGATGCCCCACCCCACACCTGCCTCACACGGTGCTCCAGTCAGCAGGTCAACCTTGTTGAAGGTCTTCCTCTTTCTGACCATTTCATCTTCTAGAACCTGGTCCCTCTGATAACACGGCCCAGGGATCTAGGGGGCCTTCTGGCCACCCCGTGTGTTTCATATTCTTCACCAAACCAGTGCCATGCTCCAAACGCAGCAATCGTCCTTCAGTCCTCCCCACACCTCATCCAGCCTCCACACACACGAGGCTTGGGCCAAGCTCACCTCAGTCATCAAAAGGCATCTCTGCTTTTTAACACGTCTTATGCAACATATTTACACAACGCAATCATTGATTTCCTGACCGCTGATTCCACAGGCACTGCTTAGGGATCCAAGTAAAATAAAATTCTTAATCCTTACCTGACTGCTACACTGTACTTCCCCCTCAATCAAGAAAATATGGTTTTCCTCAGTTTTATTTCTATGCCTCTTAGTGAACCAGCAGGATAAATTGCAATAAAATAGATTCACTGTGAACTTAGTATTATCTTTTTAAAAAAATTTGAAATGCTCAATATTTGTTTAATGCTGAATATATAAGATGCTCTTTTGCTTAGAAGCAAAAACAAACAGAAAAACAACTCAAAACTGTATTCCTTGACTTCGTATTCACACAGTGAGAACTCTAGAGTTGGAAGAGACCTGAGGGATCATTTACCCAACACCTTCCTCTTGCATTTGGGAAACTAAGGCCCAAAGGGAGGTGATGTAAGCTTCCCCAGGCAGCAAGCAAGAAAATGCAGTGGCCAGGCAAGTGACAGTCCCCAGCCCCAAGCCTGCCAGGCTCTCGGCCCTGTCACCAGCTACTCCCAACACAGGAAGTGACCAAGAACTTACAGGACAAAGACACAGGTTCATTAAGAGCATGGGTCTGACCCGTCAGGCAGGATTCCACACGCGTCTCTGTGAGGGTTCCCAGTCCAGCTGGCCTACATGTGCCTGTGTTAGCCCAACGCTCGACTCCCAGTTCAGTTCACACCCATAGCCGTCAGCCTGCAGCTGACCCCTCAGACACCTGGAAGATGCCAGCTTTGCTCACACAGGCTCTAGCGCTCATCCTGGAGACCCTGCCCTGCTAAGCTGCTGCTGTCCATCAGCATGGCCAATGACCTCTACCATGCAGCAGACAGGGGGATGTGGAGGACAGAGAAACACAGGGCCAGAGAATCAAGCACCTGGGGGCAGGATCAGTCACGAAGACCTTTCTGCTTTAGGCTGGAGCTTTAGAAATCTCAACATTCTAGGCATACCCATGTTTACTGTGGCTTTGTTCACAATAGCAAAGAGCTGGAAACAACTTAAGTGCCCATCAACAAATAAATGGATAGAGAAGCCGTGGTATTTTCAAACAATGGAATACTAGCTGCACTGACAAACAGGGAACTCATTAAACATTATATAAAATGGGTGACCCTGGAGGACATTATGCTGAGTGAAATATCTCAGTCACAAAAGGACAAATACTGCATAATGTCACTGTTGTAAAAAGGAACTGACATTGGGTTTGGGGGAGACCGAGAAAGATGGGATACATAATGTATACTGCATTGAAACAGATGAGGGAGAGAACTGTTTAAAAGGGATATATGATTAGGTATTATTGTCATGACAGGAGTCCAGAGTGAAGGCTGCACAGTGGAGTGGACTTG